TGCCCGCATTCTCCGGTACGTCTGCGATCAAGAGTGGCATCACCAAGGATCAATATTGATTCATTCTTTCGAGTAGGTCCTTCCTGAAGCGCCCCGGCGAGCCCAACATCCCCATCCAGGCTATCGGTCTGTCGCTCTATGAAGACTTGGGTCGCGGCGACCCCGAAGAGGTTCCCGGTACCAAGGTCACCCGCACACAATGGCTGGACCTTAGCTCGTTGGAAATGAACACCCTGATCGGAAAGGACATTCTCATCGTGGACGAGGTCGATGACACCCGGACGACGCTGGAATACGCTGTTAGGGAACTCCAGAAGGACGTTGAGACGGCGCAGAAGCAGTTGGGCCGTGAGGGCGAGAAGACCAACTTCTTTGTCTTTGTGCTCCACGTAAGTTGTTCCTTGAAACCTTTCTAGGGTTATGGATGGTCTTGCTAATTCGCAGCAGAACAAGAACAAGGCCAAGAAGGGCCAGCTGCCCGAGGACATGATGGAGAAATATTACCACGCATCTCTGACCACCGAAGATGTGTGGATTTGCTATCCATGGGAGGCCAAGTAAATGAAGAAATTCTGTTGCTTTTGATATTAGCTGCTCATACGTCTTCACAGGGACATCGACGAACACGACCGCTTGTCCAAGGAGAACCCTCTCTAAAATCGGACCTTAGCTTCGTTCTATCATTCCATCCACCCTTGGCATCAAGCCCTTCAGTCCACACTAGGTTCAATCTTGCGCATGTCACAGAGATATGTTGGACATACCGCGCCACGAGATGAGAAGATGCCTGATCAGCGGGAATTATGCATGATGCTAAAAAAAAATCATTTTGGTATATTTGGATTCGGCTTGACTTATAAACGACAGATATCCAAAATTCGCCTTTTGCTGATATTTCTTGGGATGTGATCATTTGCATATATTTACTTTTTGCCTTATTGCCATATAGGAGTTGGACATTTGCTCGAGCAAATCTTTTGAGCCATTGAATCGCTATCAAATTGGATTTATATAAAAACCAGCATTTGAATAGCCACAGGAGATTCCCTTATTACCTCAATAATCGTATAGGTCCGCTGGCGTATCGGGATATCAATGGACAGGAATCAGGAACCCCATCCAACACCATCATTACCATTGCCATTGACAATCAATTGTCCCCCTCCCAAACGTGTAGCGACGCCCAAATCCCGCGCAATATTAACGCAAGAACAGAAAGCAACCCTACACGCCCAACCCAGCTCAGCCCAAACAGACCGCGCAACAAACAAGAAAACAAAAGACCGTTTAGTCGACGTCGATGTTCCCCCGGCGCAAATCAACCTTGGCCAGCTCGATCTCTTTCTGCAGCTCGTCGTGCGCCTCGGGGACGTCGTTGAACGTCATGATCGCCACTCCCAGCCGGCCGAGTAGGTAGCATCCGAAGGATATCAGGGCGTAGAAGGGGAGCTATCGAGAATAGCGCGTTAGTATTTAGTAGTTATAGGGATATAAAAAGGAGTGGGTGAACGTACGACCGGGATGACTTCGTGCTGCACGGTCTCATTTAGGGGGACGAGACCCAGGTAGAGGACGAGGTAGAGCTAGAACCGGCGGAAAGAAAAAGCCACATAGTCAGCAAGAGGATCATTTGACATAATCAACAGCACCAATTGAGTATACCGAAGAGACCAGCAGCAGAACTGAGAGAGTCTGCTGAGCGCGCGTCATGATGAACCACGAATCAATCAGGGTGTATGCGGTTAGGCAGTCGAATTGGTTGCGATTAAAAAGAGAAGCCAGAAAGGAGAATCCGTGATGGAAACAAAGTCCACGCAATTAATTATTAGTTAATTCGTTATAGAACTGCACGCCTGAGAAAACTGCTGTGGTTGTAGTTTCTCCTGCACGTATGCGAAAGTAACGGCGATTTCCCCCCGATGCGTCTCGTGGCCGCGGTGGTCGCCGTATTAGGATGGAGTTCCGCATGCAGTTCATAACTCGATATTTCTTTGACAGTTGGTATGGATAGTTCTAGATTTAAGGGCAATTGGCTCGTTTATGTATTCTATTTTATATACCTTTATAATATACATAGCTGGTTGGCGGAATGAAACTAAAGAGACTACTGGTGTACTATCGTAGGAACAAATGGTGCCTCAGGCGCCTCAGGCTTCCATATTATATTGATCCCTGAACCATCGCCGGCCGTCGACATGCACCGAGTACAAACACTAGACGAGAAGTTCATTCTATCATCCACTAACATCTTTATATTCCAATTATAGTGCCCTGGTTTCTCGGATACTCGCAGGAGATCTACGTCTTTGTGAAGTGTCCTTCTAGCTGTCATCGTTGGCTAGAATTCATACAAGTGGCATCCCGTTGATTTCTAATTCCAAACAAGCCTGGATTCCAGATACTTGAACTCGACTTGGTCCCATTCCTCTGGAAGAAAAGTGTAATCTTACCGATCTTTAACCGGACTGCTCTGGGAATATGACTTCTCAAGATGAGATGAATACCGCCGGCGAGCGTGCTTCTGCTCCAGACATGCAAGTGAGTCTACAGAAGCCACAAGATGTCGATTGTCCTTCTGTGGAAAAGATTCTCTCAGACTCGACTGCATTGCCGCCTAGTCTGCCAACAGAAAGAACCGACTCCTTGCCGGCAGAAGAACAAACGAATCTACTCACGTCTCTGCAAGAGACTCTGGAGAACCTCGAAAGCGAGAATGAAGCGGAAATCGAAGCTTTCATGGATGTACGCTCTATTCTGGATAAGCTATGGAGTTCCAACTCAGACCTCTTGGTTCAAGCAGCGAATCTTCTGGCGAACGGGAGCAGGAATTGTGAGTACAGCTGAACGTGCTGCTAGCAAAGCATGGAGTCTGACAGGTAGTTTAGCATCGTGGAGGCTACCTTACGGACAGTCGGGAATCTTGGATTTCTTCCTTCGCTTGATTGCTTCGAGCGAGATTACCGATAATGAGTTACTGCTGCACTCGCTGCGGCTGAGTGGGAATTCGTGTGCCGATACAGGTAAGTGTGTTTGTGTCTCGCTGGCGCTGTGGCATACTAACCCTATTCAGACGAAAATAGGTTAATCGTCGTGAAAGACAATTATACACTTGCTATCGTCCGTCATCTTTTGAACCCGGGGCTTACCCAAGTGGTAATACCCGTCTTATATAACACATGCATGGACTTTGGTATGGTTGTATCCTTACCTTCATTGCAGTTAATTTTACTAACTGGGCTATAGAGCCGGCTCATGCCCAGGTCGCCGAAAACAGGATTGCGTATATACTATCGAAACTAATCAAAGACGGTGCATTTTCTGATAACGAGGCGTTGCTTGACTATTCTTACGAACTTATAGAACTGGCGGCGGAGCAAGGTATGGCGCTTTCTTTATCTGCTTATGTTCCTTTTCTAACGAGAATGGTATACAGGACAAGGGGTTGAGCGTTCCCCTGATGGAATGATTTCGCTTCTACTGGAGCTTGCAGCTGACAAGGAGACCACTTTCTCCCAATCCTCCTGCGTTGTTAACAGTCTCGTGAAGTATCTGGAAAATGAACGATTCCAAAACGTCTGTATATCGAATGGCATGGTGGAGCGTGTGCTCTCTGCCCTCCAACGGTCACTCTCCCTCGAGGTGAATCGGTCATCCGTCGAAGAGGCGAAGGCGTTCGTCCAGCTGCAACTGAAACTCAACCAGACATTGGCGGAGCTCTCAGGCTCAGAACTGTTTGCAAAGTTCTACCCGCTTGACTCGCCAATGTTCCAGACTCTGAAGTCCTGGCTGACCGCAAATGAAGACCAGCTCCAGATATGCTCATGTGTCATGCTGGGTAACTTGGCTAGGTCAGACGAAGTGTGCGAGAAGATGGTTCGCGATCTAGGTCTGCATAAAGAATTGATATCGATCCTCAAGGGTGACGCCAGAGGCGGCGTTCTTCACTCCTCGCTCGGCTTTCTGAAAAACCTGGCGATTGCCGGCGACAACAGACAGCGCTTGGGTGATGCCGGTATAATACCCGCGATATCAAGTCTATGGGGATATGAGACGGTTCCGCAGGTCCAATTTGCTGCTACCAGCATGGCTCGCCAGCTGATCGTATCGTCATATGAAAACGCCAAGAGATTACTGGACGTACTTCCTGAGGGCGATGTCTCGGAAAACGAGCCGACATATCTGTCATTGTTGCTTGGTCTCTTCGAAAAGACAGATTCAGCCCCAATTACGACCGAAATCGGGCGAAGCGTTGCTTCCATCTGCCGCACTCTGATCCCGAAAGCTAAGGAATCCGAGACAAGCACCCTCTTGGAACGCCTATTCAGCTTACACGAACACATTGCACGTCCGATAGGCGCCATGATCACACAGACTCAGTGGCCTGTTGTCCGGAGTGAAGGCTGGTTTGCATTGGCCTTGATGGCGTCTTACAAACAGGGTACTTCGACTGTCGTGGACTGCCTGCAGAATATGGAAGTTTACCCGCTGCTTGAGAAGACACTAAGTGCAGGTGACTCGGATTCAGCGATTGAAATGAAAAAGGTACAGCGGGCTAAGGATCGCGATAACACCATTATTCTCGTGAAGGAGTTGCTCTCCAACGATGTAAGTTGGTCTTCGTCTTCTCTATAAAATACATGCTAATTGTGTATAGCAGGGTACACTACCAGAGGACTGGAAGACCTCGTTGGAAGGTTTGATGAACGGCCATGTGTCGCGGCATCTGAAAGGAAGTGAAGATAGCTGAACGGGTGTTGAAATAGATCATATGCCTACAGTAATAGAAGCATAGATTGTCAGCACAGCTGTCAGATTATTATAAACGGCCACAATTCAACATCTTTTCTGCAGTACTTCAGTATTCTTTAAACAACGGTGATGGATATGTTGCGTAGTCGGCGATGACGTCGTACCACGTGCAACTCCGAATGGCCGATGTTTCCTTGCGGGCTCCGAAGCACCTACAATACTCTACATACACCTTTCACAATTCAATGGCCCCGCCCTGCTTGGCTACAGAGCCTCTCTTACGCTCTTCCATGATCCCCGCGGCCCTTCGGAGGCGCTCGCTTGCATGAGAACATGAGGACGGCCGTCCTCTTTGGCCGTTTCTGTCGTCCGACGCAGCTACTGTCCCGCTTTGCTCCGCCGTCGCGATTACGCTTTGCCCGTCCGCCAACATGGCCACGAAGACAATTCAACGAAGATGGTTATTCGGGGTATTCGAGAAAGGCCCCCGTGGCCAGGACGGTGCTACTGGCTGCCTTGACTCCAGGTGCCTTCCTGGAGCTGGCAGAGGAGGGGGATTCGAGTGAGAAAACCGGGGAGTTACATATGCTGGAAGCGTCGCGCGCGGAAGTCCAGACTGGTGTTTCGAAGGATGCGCGGGGGCTGAAGAGGCTCCGTCAGCGGCTTTATGTTTGGTTGTATTGTTATATTTATGATCCGATTGCGACCGGGTTTCGATTTGTGCACTTGATGTTCATCTTTATGCCGGTCATTCTCACATTTCCGGTGGCTTGGTTTGGGAAACGACTGGAGGATCGCAGTGAGGAACGGGCAGGGACATTATGGTGGTTCCAATTTTTGGTTCGGGCAATGGAGCGTGCTGGTCCGGCGTTTATCAAGGTGGGTGTCCTCCCTTGAAGTCTTACAGTTGCGCATACTGATTCGTCGTTCTTTTTCATGCAGCTCGGGCAATGGGCAGCATCACGAACCGATATATTCCCTCCAGAACTATGCAGTATTATGTCCTCCCTCCATTCCAATGCACCAGCACATCCGTTACATGCGACCAAGAAGACCATAAGGAAAGCTTTCAATGGGATGCCGTTCGAGGACATCTTTGAAGAGTTCCAGGAGGAGCCCCTCGGTGTAGGCGCAATTGCGCAGGTATACAAAGCAAGACTGAAGCGAAGCTTGGCTTCTGAGGATAAGGATATCTCACAGGAACCCGAGAGTCTGCGAGGTAAAGTCAGAAAGAACGTTGATGTGCTGGTGAAGAGCTCGCCTAAACGGGTCCCATCTTCATATGTGGCTATCAAGGTGCTTCATCCAAAGGTTGAACGGGTCATTCGGAGGGATTTGAGAATCATGTCTTTCTTCTCGTCCTTGATCAACGCCATCCCTACAATGCACTGGCTGTCTTTGCCAGACGAAGTTGCACAATTTGGGGAGATGATGAAGTTACAATTGGATCTTCGGATCGAGGCGTCCAACCTCGCCATCTTCCGTGAGAAGTTCAAGTCGCGCACCACTGCTTGGTTCCCATTCCCATACTTGGATTACAGTACCCGGGAGGTGCTGGTGGAGGAGTTTGCCCAGGGAATCCCGCTGTCAACCTTCATGGAGCTTGGTGGAGGTGTCTATCAGCAGGAAATAGCAAGTGAAGGGTTGGATGCGTTCCTTCACATGCTGCTGATCGACAACTTCATCCACGCGGACTTGCACCCGGGCAACATCATGGTCCGGTTCTACCAACCGAGTGAGCTAGATCTCTCCCTTCGAAAGAGCACCCGGGCGTCGGAAGCTCCGACAAAGGCCGAGGTCGATGTGACGGAAAAAGTGCTCAAACGTCTAAGACCGCATTTAAAGGATGCGCAAGACTGGGAGAACGCACTCAACCAGCTGAATGCTGAAGGCTACCGCCCACAATTGATCTTCATCGATACTGGACTCGTGACACAGCTCAATGAATCAAACCGGCGGAACTTCCTTGATCTCTTCCGTGCAGTCGCAGAGTTCGACGGATACAGAGCAGGCCAGCTCATGGTCGAACGATGCCGGCAACCAGACGCAGTTATTGACCCTGAGGTCTTTGCGTTGAGAATGCAGCATTTGATCCTGAGCATCAAGTCTCGGACATTCGCGCTTGGTAATATCAAGATTGGAGATATCCTCAGCGAGGTTCTGTCCATGGTAAGGGGTCACCACGTCCGACTCGAGGGTGACTTTGTGAACGTGGTTATCTCAATTCTTCTCCTTGAGGGTATTGGGCGTAGTCTCGACCCGGATCTGGATCTCTTCAAGCGGTAAGTCATGTCCTTCCTTCCAAAGGTCCTTGTATATTTCGTTTGTCTAACTCTTCATTAATTAGTGCACTCCCTCTTCTACGCGAACTCGGATCCAGTGCTTCATTCATGCAATCCGTACGCTCGGGCGACACTTCTATGCTACGCGTGTGGGTTGGTCTTGAGGCACGCACGTTGCTCCAGGCCAGTATTGAAAGTGTCGAGAATTGTGTCAAGTATGACCTGTTGTCGCCGAATATCTGATGAAGTGAACGCAAAGGAAACATCAAAGGTATGTTGTGTGTCTGTTCGCCGCCATGATATGAGAGTGGTAGATTTCTCTCCTCGGGAATAGATGAAGCAACACTATGTTCTGAATTATAGATTATGGATTGAATAATTGTGACAATATGGTGTATTTTCTTTGCAGATGCTGGATGCTGCAGGTGTATGAGTATGATTTTTTTCCAGTTAGGCATATGGTTTACTAGCGATAGAATATAAATATCTATAATACAAAAACCCATGGTATATTTTCGTTTCCAAAAAGGGAGCATGTACTTGGTTCTTTAGAATATGCGGCTCAAAGAGAGTACATATCACTACCCTCATCGTCCGACTCACTCTCAGACTTGTCTTGTGATATAGCAGAACAATCATCAAACATCTCCAACAAACCATACAAACAGCGAACAAGCCCAATACAATTCCTAACAAACTCTTTCCGATCTCCCTGCTCCAAAAGATCATAGGGTTCAGAGAAATAAACCCCCAGCGGAGACCCAGGAGCCTTTCTCTCCACCAGATCCTGAAGATATGAATTAGAGCAAGAAGCCCTGACGAGTTGAATAGTAGTTCCCTTCATGCTGACAACGAATGCATTGTAGTCGTTTAATGTGGGATTCAGCTCATATTGTAAGAATACTTGGAACTTGGAAGAGAAGGTATGGAACGACTTCATGGGGTAATGCGATGCTTAAACGTTCTGGGCCTTTTCCGGCCTAAAGTTGGTTTATTAGCCAGAGTCCGAACAGAGCAGATTAGGTGCATGGCATACCAAGAAGATCGTGAGCGGTAGGCTTGACTCCCTATCTGTGATCCTGAAAAATACACCGTCGTTCCGTAGAGTGCCTTTTACATTGAATGGATGATATGTGGAATGGTATTAAGCGGTAACTGAATCTCCTGCTTCCATATTCAGCATCAAAATGCAAGCGATGAAATAAAGAGAACCTATAGGGCATTCTTGCTATCAAAATGAGCCATAAACCCACGTGCAATAGAGATAAGCTCCATCTGAGCCAAATCCAGCCCGGAAAGAATCATCTCGCATCTGTTGCCAGGATGCGTGAAATTCGTGAGGACTTCGTGTCTGGTTGGTTTGGCAAATTCATCAGCGAGGGTCTCGAATACTGATAACAAGTAAGTATAGTAGGGAAAGATGCGCAAAGAGTAAGCATACATGGGTCGTCATCTTTGGGTAGATTGGCGTCCTCGACGATGGCAGAGGCTGGAAGATGGTGATGTTCTTCGATGTTTAACCCTTGTAGATGTCTGGGCGTCCATTTATTTGGTGCTTGGAAGAAATTTTCGCTGCTAAATGGGGTTGCGGATACTACTATGTTGATTGAAGTGCAGGATTTGAGATGCGAAGGAGGGGGGTGGTGTATGTAGATAGTGCGTAGGCAACCTGGACACCAACCATATCTTGTATCGCCTACACTCTTTCTGCATTCCTCATAGTGAGAACTCAGTCAGCGGAATTAGAGTTGATAAAAATCTATATGCAGATAAGAAGACATGATAATAAGAAAACAATCAAAGAGACCATGAACCACCAGACGCCTGCGTCCTGTCTAAGCATACAACGTTATCACGATGAGCGGAGAAGCACCAAGTTCGTTCAAGAAAGAAAAAGACAAGTCATGCAACGCTCAATGAATCAATCATGAGCCTTTCCACGAACGGAACCACCACTGGCCCGGTACCAGACATCTCCTCCCCATCTCATCAGTCGTTCAACGGCGGCCGTCGGAGTATCCAAGGCTGGTCGAATGTCAAGGTAGAAGACCGGCTCACCGGAAGGTTCCGGAGCTCCTGAGTAATAGTCGATCACATAGCGGATTTCCTTAGGGCCTGATGACGTCTCTCGCATAACGTACCAATCGTGACGGTCGAATGGAGGGTCCGTCCTAATAACTGCGCGTTAATTGACTGCAGTCCAATTCCAGACACAAAAAGGACTACTCACTCAAACTTGGCCGGATACAGCCACCCCAATGTCTGGAGCATTTGCGCCTTAGGAGTCAGCTCCTTCGGCCGACCCTGGAATCTAAGTAGACGAGGCGTTGATTCCTCATCGACGGTCCCCATAAATTCCTCCCTAAACGCATCCATGGCGATGTTCTGCTCACCCCGCTTGCACTTATCCCATGCACTCTTGAAACCCTTGGCGAAGATACGTTCCCAGCCGACGATCTCATCCCAAGCACCTTCGTTGAGGAAATTGTGAACTGCGACCATCGATTCCACGGCATCCTGGGGTGTGTCGGTAAAGCCCTTGCGCAGCATCGCGTTGTACATCTGCTGGGGAGATGGGTATTCCCAGTTACCCTCCGAGTCACCCCGCGGTATCGAAGAGATTTCCCGCTCGACGGGGAGATCGACATTCTGATTCGGGGCTCGTTCCTGGGAAATGGACGAGAACATGTAATTCATGGGGTTGAGCTTGGATAAGGTTGAGGGCTTGTTCTCGGAAGAAGAGGGGGGTTGCGATGGCGAGGGGGTGGTTTTCGGGGGCGTATAGAATGGAGAGTCCGAAGACTTGACCGGACAGGCACTGGGTTGCTCAGGGTGAGATGGCGGAGGTGAAGCGGGAGCAGGGTTCGAGGTGTGCATCGGGCATCCTGGCTATATACAAGCAATGGTTAGGGAACCAGATTCAATCTGCTCTGAATAGGTGAGAACTAACTGGAGGGGAGGCATCGGACGATGCCAACGGATTCGGAGCCATAGGCGCTGACTTTGGTAGCGGGTCTGCCCAGAACCAACCCATATTGAATAGAGTGAGGTATGTATTGAACAGGGAAGACAACGACGGTCAAGACGAGGAGTCAAATTGCCAGAAACCTCGATAGAAGGGTTATTGCTGTCTGGATAAAAAATTGGTTGCGCAAAAAGCCATGGATCGGAAAACATCGCGGAGGATGACATAAGAAAGGCAGTGTCCAATAAGAAACATCATAATTATCCTCCTATCTTATCGGGTATCAACTAATACAAGAACAATTTCTATCAAGTTTACATATATTCGAATAAAAAACCAAGCAAAACAGCCAGGATATGAATTATCCAAAACATGCAGGATGAGCATAGTATGGTCCAACGATGCCTGTTGGAACAAAAGTGACAACCTTGTCCCAGATGGTTTTCCAGATCTGACCCTGAACCTGAGGAATGTAAAGGTATTCGGTCAAGAGATCCGACACATGATCCCAGTGACTCCATCCACAGATTACCGCGATAGTTGCGAGTTGTTCAATAAACCAATGGTGTTCAATCTGTCCTGTTGAGCCCTGAGCCCCGATAAACAGTGCCCATGCAAGAAGCACGGCGTTCTCCTCTGGTAGCTGTGCTAGCAGTGGAAGTGTGCAGTTGTTTGCTGCCCTTTTGAGATGTTTTGTGAGTGCGCGGCCAAGACCCGTCGATGGTGGGGAGACAATCAAAAGACTATTGAGGTAGCAAATTGCCGCTGTCCTGGTGAGCGCTTCAATCGGGTGGAGAACTGTTGCTTCGGGCTCAGAATCAACGTAACTGGCCAATCGATGCTCTATCTCGCATATGAAAAGGCGGAAGAATTCATGGTTTTTGGGCTGGAGAGCAGGCGAGTTTGTTTCAAATGCCTCGCTATAAAAGGCAACCCCACGAAACGCATGAATGACCCTTCGTAGAGAGCAACTCAGCAGTGTGTTTGCACAGAGAGCGTTGCCAATGCGGTTCACTGGTGAGAACTCCGACGGCTGAACCCGCGCTTGGACATCCGCTGGTACGCGCTTCGAACCCCAAAGCAATGGAAATACCGGTGCAGTCATGAGGCCCGAAGCAGCCTTGATATCGGCTCTAATCGCAGTTTAGCAAAGAGAAAGCTTTACTGTGGGAATATAACACATACGTGACAATAGCAGCCCAGATGGACGATCCTCGAACGCTGCGGGCCGTGATACCTCCCCGCATGTCTACCATGTGTTTCAAACCTTTGAGATGGATCCTGATTTCCGAGAAAAGACCCACGATCAACTGTAAAGTGTCAGACCGGCTTGAGATAAAGGGGCATATGGTAAATATCAAGCGATCAAACGACCAAGGGAAAGGCTCTTACCGCACTGGTCAGGAGGCTAACAATCGTATCAAAGGCTTCATTGCTGAGTGCCCGGTTGGGATCGCGTACTTTGACCTCCATCTCCCGAATGCATCTATCCTTCATAATATAATAATCTGGATCATAAAGACTGCCTGATGAGCCTTCCGCGTCGATCAGATCCGAATGACGTCCGGAAAGAATAGCTCGATGGGCCGCACACATGCTCATCAAGCCAAAGAAGCTGCCAGCATCCGAGAAGGCGGATGTGGTCGTGAACGCCTTATTAGCTCGTTTTGACCCATTTTGCGCATTTGGAAACGTCGTCGGTACGTATACAGTCTCATCTTTTGATATTGAATTTCAAAGATTAGCCATTACTTGCCAATGAGATACAAATAAAACGAACTACAGGTCCAATAACAACTTACAATATAATATCAGTTCCGAGACCATAGATGGCATTCCAGCAACGCACTGCAAGGTACTGAATGGATCGAGTTCCCAGATCATTTGGGGCACGGGATTTGAACCCGACGTGATTAGGAGATTGCCGGCATCCCATTGCGTTAGGGACTGCTGTCCCGACTGGGGGAGAACGAGATCACCACTGGACTTCGTCACTTGGGGAGAAGACGACGAAGACAACGAGGACGAGGATGACGATGGAGAAGAAGAGCTCCAGAACGACGTTGCTTGATCGCTGAAGGAATCCTCAGAAATGTCCTGCACGATGGGGGCGGGCTTGGAGGGTTTCTGCAGTTGGGCTTCCCGCTTGGAGCCTCGCTTCAAGCCAGCTAGTCGTTCACGACGACGCACATCGCGCATAACATGAGACCGGATGGCCTTGCGGGACTTGATATTCTTAATTCGCTTGGAGCTGAAGTCTTGGTCATGGTCGATGAAAGTAAATGTCGGTTGATCCACTAACGGCGTTACGGATCCTGAGTGTGGAGCTGACGATCATGCTCCATAGAACCCCAGGAACCGACAGATTAGCTTCGAGTCCACGAAGGAAGATTTAATTAAATAGCACGGCGAAAATGTTGCACAAATCCTCATGGATATCGGGTAGTATTGCAACTCTTTCGCGTTGTGTGTGAGACAAGCATCAAAGACAAATAAAGTGGATACAGTGCGATACAGGACAACAACAACCCGAAAGAAAAAGAAAAGAAAAATACACAAAGATACACCCAACTGAGAGAACGAAGAAAGAAGAAATACTAACCTGCAGGGAAAGGATGGATAGGAATAGCATTCATGACGCTAGTTTTCTGCATCTCGACGAAGCTGCCAACCGCAATGCGATAGATACTGGAGCAAACCGAGCAAGGCAAGCAACACGCAGGTTACTCCCGATGGACCTGGGGTCGAATTCCCGGTGCAGGTAAACCGATAGCCATGCAGGTAACTGCAGGCAACTCACAGGTAGAGAGACACACACCAGACCGATGCTCTAGATTTTCGACCCGGAAAGTCGCAGTGATACAAACGGAAGCACAAAAAAGAACAAACCAAGCAATGAGAATAAATCTCTGGAACTTAAGAAAAAAAAGGACAGAGGGAGGGAAGAGGATGGAAGAATCGGGAAAGGAGGATGAAAGGATGGAATGAAAAGAGGCAGCAAGAGGCGGAGAGAAGCAGGCCAGCAGCCCTGCCTGCACTCGGCCATCCCACTATGAGCAATGGCAAAGCCTACCTGTAGGGGGTTTCTTTGTCTCCATGAGCCATCACAGTGATGATGACATACAGAGCGAGTATAACTAGTTTCTATTGGATTGGAGAGGCGACTCGACACGGACCATGTATACTGACTGCCGCCAAAGCCCCCCCTTTTTTTTTCGGTGAGTGTAACGCCGAATCAGCTGCCAGGACGTTGTCGCTCGTATACCTTGTCACTGTATACTGCCGGCTTAACTTTTCTCCATCTCCGGGTTGCAATGTGCATATACGAAGTCAACAATTGGTTTCTGACAAGAAATAGAACCAGCACTGGGTGAAAGAGAAGAAAATAGTATTTCCATAACCTCTTTGTGCCTCCAGCCTCCTTTGTCTTGAACCCGATCTCTTCCGCAGTGAGTCCGGAGTCATCTTATTCCCATGACCTACATTGGTCGACGAGTGTAATTGATGGTTCGTGAGCCGGTTGTTGGAGTCTGACTGGGTTTCTTCAGACACTCGTCCGCAAAAGCGAGCGCATCCGTAACGAACTGGTCGATATCAAAATTTTCTGCGATGCCCTGTGCCTGAAGCTTCTGAATCGCATCCCTCGTCCAGCTAACGCAGTTCTGTTCTGGCACGGCATCCTTAATGGGTAACGGGACTGAATCAAGATGCGCCTGTATCTCTCCATCTGTAATCTCATTCGGCACCTTGCCAATCATCACCCATCCCAACGAGACGGCTGATTTGCAGCATGTCAACATTATCTTTCACCCTGAATAACCAATTTCGTTCCAGATTGCGGTCTTCGCCAGTGATAGGGTCAAGATCAATCGCGTCGGTAACATCGTAAGCGTTGCAACTGTTGCCGGCAGGGTATTTGATGAGAAGTCCCCAGTGGTATGCTGCAGGGCCCAGTCGCTGTCCGAGGGAGAACTTATCACGGTAATGTAAGGTGACGTACACTTGGCGCTTCCTTTTCGAGATTGGGAGGTATTTGCGAACGGAGGTCTGTATACTGCCTAAGCGCCATGTTATGTCAATAGATGCTCACAATATAGAATAACGTGAGATAGGTTTGCTTATTACCCATGATAATCGTAGACTTTTCCTCGTCGGTTGTCAGCTGTGATGTAATTATGCTTTTACTGTACGTCAAAGAAAAGGATGATGGTCTCTAATTCACTGACTTGTTGAGCAGATGACTACATTAGATCGAAACCTCCACTTCAATCCAATGACTTGTATGGCCCCATGGCCCCAAGTATATCCCGTCAGAATTGTTGTCCGATCTGATCAGCACCTGTACTTCCTCAACAGCACTATGCTTGTATCTGATACGTTGCCAAGCCACTCGAGTACATGCATATGCTATGACATCGAGCAGCACCGTTAGGGCGAATGTCATGGGAGTTTCTCCCCATCTCTCGTCTGGAACCCCAATCACAGCAGCTTCGATGATGTCTGGATGTTTCATGAGAATACTCTCCACGGCCACTGACGAGATATTCTCTTCACCTGGTATGGTCAGTATAATTCAGATATTGAACTTACGGTCCAGGGGGTTAAACTCACCACTAATTATAATGTCCTTTGCGCGGTCCAAGACCTGAATAGCCCCATCCGGATGCCACACTGTCAAATCACCCATATACATCCATCCTCCGGCAAAGAGCTTTTCTGTCGCTCCTGGATCCTTGTAGTATTCCTTAGCACACAGATTTCCCTGCAGGATAATCTCCCCGATCTCCAGCGCATCCTTGGCAACGCCAATCAGCTCACTGGCTTGATCACCCGAACCGGAAGCCCCGTAATCACCCCGTGACCTTGACGAGCTAATTTTGTGCACTTTTCTGCCGTAGGAAGCGTGTTCCACTCGGGCAGATGATATTCCATACCCACAGGCCTGTACGTCTCGGTCAATCCGTAAACATGGACGGGGTGCAAATTCAGACAAGTCATTTGCTCGAATAACACTGCGGAGGGAGGACTGGCCAAAACAGTGACTCTAACCGGGCGAGCAAGCTGCACGGCCTCCTTGGCGCAACGAAGTAATGTGTTGACGGCTGGGGCGGCGCAGAAGTGCGTAATGGGCTCTGTGCGCAACAGATGCCAGAGGTGAGGATAGTCAACCTTGCGGAGACAGTAATGCGTGCCTCGCACTGCTTTTATGGCCCAGGGAGATGTCCATCCTATGGTATGGAACATGGGGAGAATCCAGAGGTAGCCACATCGGTTAGGGCTCTGGTTCGGCTGAGACTCGACTACGTTACCCATTGCTGCCAGGTAAGCGCTGCGGTGAATGTATAGGACACCCTTTGGCCGTGATGTGATGCCACTCGTGTAGGAAAGTGCCAGCATTTCATCTTCATTCGGGGCTTGGGATTCAAGTCCTGTCCAGCCACGATCACCGTGTTGACGATAAAATTTGAGGCCTTCGCGAATTGCTTGAACGGTCCGTCGTCACCCCCTGCATCAATGTCGATGAGAACTGGAATGCTCGGATGGTCTTCATGGAAAGAGCCCAGCAAAGGAACGAATTGCACATCAGCAATAACGTGGTCGACCCCGGCATGCTCAAATATGTACTTGAAGTCATATGTTTTGAGATGCGCTATTGTAAACTAGATAAGATGCAGTCCTGGTGCATGGGCGTAACAGGACATCCGTACGACACCTGGATGTCGGACTCAGGGGTCTTTTGGCCCTCTGATCTGTTGCCACAAGCTCTCGAGGGCGCTACGATCCTAGGATATGGATTTAACACGGAGGTAGCTGGGGGAGCAGATGGGCCGAATTTTTTGAATGTCCAGGCAGATATGCTGGTGGCATGTCTAGGGTCGCATCGTAACGCAAGTACTCTGTCCCTATTTTCTTGATAATTGAACTAACGCAAAGGATACCTTTAGATAAACCACTGTGCCCGACGCCCGCTTGTATTCATATGTCACCTAGTGGGTGACTTGATTGTTAAGCGCATGCTAATTCAGTGTGATTCAACCAAGCATCCACACCTGGCGCATCGGCGTGCGATAAGCATCTCAACATATGGGCTGCTATTTCTAGGAACGCCACATACGGCAATCGATATGGAGTGTTTCGACATTCCAGATACCTTCGATGCTAATAGCGTGGACAATATCAACTCCCTTTTCTGCGAGATGATGGCATCTTACCGAATTTACTTTTTTTTGGGAGACCAAAGCCCTGGAGACGAATGACCGGTGACTCTTGGTGAGCGCAGCTTCGGCTGCTCCTTATGTGGACGGAACGGAGAGGTTGGGCTTGGATGGGGATCACTGAAATTATGAGGGATCTGCACGAGATAGGACACGCTGCGGCCATCAATCTGATCAATATATTGGCATTCCTCGAAGAAGAAGTACCGGTTGGTTTGATAAGCATGGCCCGAGATACATTGCAAATGCGTAGTGTTCGGGTCACTACCAGTACCATCCCCGGAGACCATCGAGGGATAGACGTCACTACAGGGGCCCTGATATGCCATGGGTTAGTGGAAAGGACCACAGACCAATATGGGAATAAGCAAAAACAATCGGATTCCGAAATTTAGTTGACAACAACAGTCGATGCCACTGAAAGGATCAGACTGCATGCTATGGTGCAGGATTTTTGTCGTAGCGAGTTGAAGTCTATGGATAACACTGCAGTCCTAGGTGATGAATCTATGGGGAATGTATGACTGGTGACTCGTCACAGCATCTAAGGTGTTTTGTGACTCTTTCAAGAGAGCGCAAGCCAGAATTGGGGCAATTGACCATCATGGCAGGCTGCATGATTATGCAGATTATAGACGACATAGTTCAAGAATTCTGAAGTATTTCTCCAGAAGATGAAAAATGGCCACAAATGATTTCCTCGAGGCTCATGCCGCGCTTACTGAAACAATGGCCAATATCAAAAGCAGCCTCGAAGCCCTCTCGGGAAGCCTGATGGAAAAAAAACCTTCCCGAATTAGCCTCACTAAGATCAGTATTTGAGTGGGCAGGCAGCCTGTGCTTGTCATTGCCATCTAATGAGAGTACTTCGCCAAAGCAGACTCCCATCTTGGGAAAAGCCAAACCCCTTCACGAGAACTCACAGGAGCTAACGACTTCTCTATGCAGCAATTCGAATAGGGATCGAAGAGGCTCGCAGGTGCCGGTTGTGACGCAGCAGTCATCTCGTAGTCTGACATCAGTGAGTAAGAATATTCCAATCAATGATACGATTACGGTGTCAGGACTGATGGGTGAACTCATGGAATGCAAGAAGCGTCAACCGCATTGCATCCCTGTGTTCAACTGGGTCCGTAATCAGTCGTAGCGAGTGTGCATCTTTTTCTTCTACAAAGTCGGACAAATTCACGCATCCTGCTTCAACATGGCTTGCGCAGCATTTTGAATCCGCGCGGCTAAGCAAGATGCAAGAGATTCCATACCAACAGAGTTAGGGCTTAATGCAACTCACTGATATGCGAAGAGAACCAAGTAGGAACATAACTACGTAACTCAGCATGGATAAAGGAAGGTTAATCAAGGATAGAAAATGGAAATCCATGAGCTTGCCGATTCTTCTACACTTTCTAGAAGTCATCTAATATATGTTGTGACAGGAAAATCTATATTCTTGACAACAGCATCATTTGAAGATTGGTACATCGAATCTTCTTTCCTGCTAGGCGCTTCAGATACCCTCCTAACCAATGTAATGATAATGATCTCATAAGATCGGCAAACAACAAAAGATAAAAAAAGAAAACGCCGATTCCTTCCTCAAGACGCCATGAACCATGAAATGCACCAAGGAAGCCATGCTGACGAATAAAGAAATACAAAAAGCGAATGGGAACCGCAAGGGAAGAAAAAGCAAAAAGGGCATGTTCCATCTTATCCCTGAACATCATTCACCAACCTCGTAAGCAATGCATAGCCGAAGATAACAGCCAGACCAATCCATATCTTATTGCGTTGCACCCAGGTCTGACCAGCCTCCCGTGCGACATGACCTCCTTCCATAACATTTCCGATTCTATTGCTAGTACCATAAGCACGCCTGCGCAGTGCAGTGGTCTCTGGAGAGCATTTGTTCGCTGTCGCATTCGGGTCGGGAATGAGTTGCCCAGTGGTCGAGTCGATACGGTTGTCCTTCATCCATTTCCAATTTTCTTGGTCCAGTTCCGGCCACTCAGTGCGAAACTTCAGTCCACCATCACCGGCCTTCACGTTGTTGATCCCCTTGGCTGTAGGTGTCACTCCCGGGGTGGCGTTGACGTGAGAGCCCCCACCAGTGGAGTTCCACCATCGCGATCGCGCCGCCAGCACCCTTCGTTCCGGCTCAGATGCACTAACGCTACCTGTGGTCATCTCCTCGCTCGTCATAAAAGAAAGAAGTCCGATAAGGATTGTCGACACCTCCCACGCAGGGTTGAAGGACTTAGGGTGGAAGTCACTGATGCTGAGGCAAAGTCGAGTAGACGGCTGGAATCGACCACTTGGGGTATGCATGCGAATCGCTGGGGGCGCGAAAGGATATTCGGGAGGGAACACTAGAGTACCCCAGTACTGCCCGTTCTCGTACGGTGTCCCCGGAGGACCGGTAAGGATGTAATGCCATCTTTAAAGAAATCCCGTTAGTCTCCAACTGGCAAAAGAAATGATGCGGCAATACTGACTCAAGAATGTTCGACTCTGAGGGGTGCGCAATGATGAATGGAGGGGGATTCTTTTGAATATTTTGGTATTCACGGGTGAGCTATTTCAATCGTCAGCACTGAACGGATCCTCATCTGATGGCTTGAGTATTAATTACCCGCTTATACGCTGCTTTGGTCGCCATCTTTGCTGGTGGTTATAGTTGTGAATCTCAACCGAATTGCGACAAGCAAATAAGACGAAAATAGCGGGAGAAAGAAAAAAAGAGAGGTAGCGAGCGGACCTGAAGCAGCGACAGTAGATAGTTTAATAGTCACGCAGTAACGGCGCTGACGGAGAAGGCGAATGGCCAGGAGGACCGGCAGTCACGTGCCCGCGGCTTCCTCCTCAATTTCGCAGCTCCGACGGAAGAAGGCATCATTATCCGAGAAAGCGTGCCCACGGTCTCTCTGGACCATTGCAGCCGTCGCAATGTCCTCTCCACTGACTGCCGAAGATGACGATGTATGTCATGCGCCCCTGCATTGCGCTGTTCTTTTTTTAAGTTTCTCCTAGCTAATGACGGTACGTGCTTTTTTATAGATCTTCGGGCGTCTCCAGCAGCGTGCGGATCCGAAGGTGCAGGAAGAGCAACAGCAGGCTATGAACGACCGGGTCCGAGCAATTTACCAAAAAGCTCAGACACGGCTCGGGGAATTGGTATGTTCTTTTCTGGGATCTCTATTTCACTCTATAAGAGCTTCCGGCTAACCGGTGGGATATGATATCAGATCGATCAAAACTCGACTCTCCCTTGTGCCGTCTCTTCGATTCAGGTCGTTAATGCACCCAACACGCGCCGAGGCTTCCTGGAGCGGATCTTCAACCCATTGTTGAGTGCAAATAGGAATAGGCCGTACTCCCTTGCTGAGGCCCTGCGAGAGGTCTCGGCACGCGCCGAAAAGCTCAGCAGATTCGGTTGGACCTACCTACGATCCTTTGGGTCGAATGATATAGCTAACATGATGTCTAGACCTCTTCCAAGAGCCAATCCAGGTATACCTTGACCAGAATCCGGACACGGACGTGAGGTCGGGACTCGCCAATATCGACGTTTACTTAGCGGCTAAAGAGAAATCCCGTCTTCTGTTGAAGACCGGAACCGACCTTGGAAATACGGAGGGCTCTGCTTATGGTAACCTTCTCTGGCGCAACGTTCTTGGTGGCGCCGAGACGTTGAACTTGAACGCTTCTTTGGGCACTAGGACAAGGTCGGCTTATCAGGCGGCCTTTGAAAGCCCTATCTTCAGTGACCCGGACTTCCGCTTTGAAATCGGCGGAATTGCCAGCTCTACCCAGAAGTCTTGGGCAAGTCATGAAGAGGTTGTCAAGGGAGGTTGGAGCAAGCTCCGCTGGCTGAGCCGGTCTGGACATCGCCACGAACTTGGTTACAATGGATTCTGGAGACAGATGACGGGCTTGGCTGAACAGGCATCGCCCACTGTTCGCGCAGATGCCGGAGACAGCGTGAAAAGCAGTGTCTTCCACAGCTGGGCCAACGACCAGAGAGATAACCCGTTGCTTCCCTCTCGCGGTTACTACGCCAAGACGTTTAACGAATTGGCTGGTCTGGGCCCATTGAAGGGCGATGTTTCGTTCTGGAAATCTGAAATTGAGACACAGGGGGCTCTGCCGATTCCAATCCCGTTCATGAAAGGCGACAGTGGCATCAGCTTCACCACTGGTTTCCGTGCTGGCATCCTCTACCCTTTAGGACTTGACTCCAAATCTCAGCCCCAGTTGTCTCGCGTCAATGACCGCTTCCTCCTGGGAGGGCCTACTGACGTTCGTGGCTTCCGTCTCTGTGGCCTTGGTCCTCATGATGGAACCGATGCCGTGGGAGGTGACGTGTATGCCGCTGGTAGTGCCAACCTGCTTTTCCCACTGCCCCGCGTTGGTGCTGAGAAGCCCCTACGTCTGCAAGCATTCGTGAACGGTGGTCGGTTGCTGCCCCTCCGGACCTCAAACCAGAGCACCCCTACCACCAATACGGAGGTCCAGGATGCCATGACTTCTACGATTTCGGAATTGGCGAATGAAATGCCTAGCGTCGCTGCTGGCTTTGGACTTGTCTATGCTCATCCAGTTGCGAGGTTTGAATTGAACTTCTCTCTTCCTTTGGGGTTGCGGAAGGGCGAAGAAGGACGAAAGGGGTTGCAGTTGGGAATCGGCATCAACTTCCTGTAAAAACATCTGTATTATGCAAAAGCTTAAACAAATTTCTGTAGCATTTAAATGTATTCTTCACTCTAGTCATCCCAGAAGCATGATTTTAATTGCATACAGTAGACAGACGGCGCTAAACCTTATTTGTAGTTAGTTAACGTAATCTATCACCGACCTGGCCAAATCACCGAGCTGGCCAGCTAAAATATCCATACAAAATGCCATATTTCAAACCATCATATCTCAACATTCATTTACTATCTTAGCTTCTGACATTAGAAACAGATTATCAGTGAGTAAAACTACCAGTGAGCCAATTTTTAAACGAATTATACCTGTACTCCTTTTTTAATACCCACCTTCAGCTCTTACGCCTATATTACATTGTAATTTATACTATCTTGATAACTAGCTTAGGAAATGGCTTCAAATTGATAACAATTATTATAGTAATGTCAAGAATATTAGGAATCAAATGGTTTAATCTGCGTCTACAAGGACGTTGAGATATGATGGTTTGAAAAATAGCATTTTGTATGGATATTTTAGCTGGCCAGCTCGGTGATATGGCCAGCTCGGTGATAGATTACGTTAATGTATATTATTAGTCAGACAATCGACGTTCGATCGTGTATTCCAACCTCTCCTCGATCTGTCCTTACGAAACAAACAATCGCCATAATAAAGATAGACTTGTCCAGCTCTCTGCAACCTTTACTTGAATACATCCAACTCTTCCAATCGCCACACATATCACCTTAACTCAGCGACCTTCCTCTCACCCTCTGGCCGCAATGGCCCAATACTACCCGCAACAGCAACCATACGGAGCCCAGGCTTCTGCGCAAAACCTCCAGTTCTTCCCTTCGTCTTACGGCTCTCTATCCGGACACACGACACCCTCTCAGGCAGCATATGGCGGCAGCTTCGGAACACCCCCTTACCCTTCTGCCCAGGCATATCCCGGGGGCGGGGGCGGTGGCTATGGGGGGTTTGGATCTCCGGCCGCGGGAGTGAGTGGGAGGATGGGCGAGCAGGGTGGATTGAGGACGGGATGGCTGGCTGCGTTTGGGACAGAGGGATATGATGGAGAGCCGCCACTGCTGGAGGAGTTGGGTGTTAATTTTGAGCACATCCGGACAAAGGTGAGTCGAGGGATCGCGCGAAGACATGCATGCAGGCACAATACCAGGAGCTGACCAGAAAAAAAAGACATTGACAGTCTTGAACCCGTTCGCTCGAATCGACCAACACCTCATGGACGATAGCGATCTTTACGGCGCCCTCCTCTACATCGTTCTCTACGGAACCTTCCTCCTCCTTTCCGGTAAAGTCTTCTACGGCTACATCTACGGCGTCGCAGTCTTCGGCACCGTCGCCCTACATCTTATCCTCAGTCTCATGTCCCCCGCCCTCGATACATCCGCAGGTCCCAACGCAGCAGATCCAACCAACTACGACCCGCATAGCAAACCGGATGATTCCACTGCCGTCGGTCACTTCTCCGCGACCTTGACATTCCCCCGGTCTGCCAGCGTGCTGGGATACTGTTTCTTGCCTCTTGTGATGACGAGCTTGATTGGCATCTTAGCGCCCATGGATACTATGTTCGGGTACTTGTTAACCACCGCTGCGGTGGGGTGGTGCACATACAGCTCTTCGGGGATGTTCTGTGCCGTCGCGAGGATGCGTGGTATGCGAGGGTTGGTCGCGTACCCGTTGGCGCTGTTTTATGTCGTCTTTGGGATCATGGGCATCTTCTCGTCGAGGGGGAGTGGAACGCTCGCTGCGAAGACAGGGGCTAGTTGATTGATGGTAGTGGGTGTTCTGTAATTATCTTTCCTTTGGTCGCTGTACCTGCTTGCCATGTATTATGGCGGCCCTTAATTAAAATATGCTATGGGTGGTTTGTGTTTGCCATCGCATACGCGATATTGGGGGACCTTTTTTGAAATGTCAATTAGCATGGGTTCTTTATATTAGCATTGATGAATATGACGAATACAAAGCTATCCTTGCATTCTACTACGGGTAGATTGAGAAGATCATGGGTCGAAAGATGTGGAGCTAATTATTCAAATATGTCCATATTGTATGCTTCGACTCTTGCTCTCATCACAAATGCATGCTTATCTTCATAATAATCGTCTAGAATCAAATACTCCGTATTCATTATATAGGATGCTCATGCAACCGTATCACCCCCATAACTTATGCAACAGCACGAACATCCTCCCCCTTCGCCGGAGCCCAATTATCCAACCACTCCTTCGCCTTGTCCAGATTGCCACTCGTAGCTTCAACAGCAGCAACGCACCAAGCCATATCATACGTCTTCCCGCCAGAAATCGCATCCCCCTCTGCCGCTAGCATTTTAGCCATAGTGCGGCGCTGCTGGCCAGTCTGGTCTGTACAGAAGAAGAATGGCGCGGTGTTGGGCGTGCTATCTGGCTGGAAGTTGACGGCGTTGATTAGTGGGCGTGTTGTAGTTAGGATGTTCGCGGCGCTCGTGGTTGGTGGTTGGATGTTGTTAGTGTTGTCGTTGGATTTTCCGGTCTTGCAGTACTCGTTCTGGCACCAGGGTTTCCCGCAGCCTGTCATCATTTGCGAGAGGTATCGGCGCTCGATGCGGCGGCGGAGTGCCTTTCCGTCTGGATCGTAAGTGTCGACGTATAAGGGTCCGAAGCAGATGCTACACAGGCCTAGTGAGTCGTTCTCCACGCCTCCGCTGCGTGCATCCAGCGTACGGCCGCAATTCTGGTTTAAACAGATGCGAGGTGATGGCCGCGATAAGCGTTCCAGATCGTGGTGGCGCAGGTGTGTGTTCATGTCTCGTAGTCGGATGATCTTGTTGCATAGATGGCATTCCGTAGTACGTCCTCCGTCGACCAGCTCATGTGGCGTAAGGCCTGAGAGCAACACTTCGGGATCAAGTAAATCAGGCTCTGACTCGCCTTGCTGGGGGACCACGAGGTGACAAAATTGACATAAAATTGGCTTTCCGGGGCAGACAGTCGTACGATGTTGGGCCAGTCTTGGAAGACCTTCCGCCTCGAATCCACAAACTGAACACGAGCACGTTTTGTGAAATATCTTGTCGTGACTTTCCTTACTTGCGGCATCATTGCCATAGGAATCATCATGCTCGCAATGCCAGTGGTTTTGCCATTCCGGGGACCTCTTCTGGAAGACGTTGCGGCATTGGGGACAGACCGCGTTGTTCCGGAAGCAGAAGTTCTCATGTAGGACTAATGTCCTCTGAGGCACCCATTGTAGACAGTTTTTGCATTGTACGTCTCCAGGGTCCTGAGGGCCCGACTCGTCTTCTTCCTCGACCTCTTCTGAATCTGAAGGGTTCACCATGATGCGCAATTTGTACAGCACGGGCATCTTCTGACCCGCATCTGTCGCATCTCCTGTGGAGGAAGGGAATGCATGAGCAGATACATACACGGATTCTGCTCCTTCCAGCTCGACATTGGTCGATGCGATCTTGATCCGTTTGGACGGTCGACTCGAAAAGTCACCAAAGACATGCTCATCGTCCCTGGGCCGGTTCCGTTGGCGAGAAGAGAAAGGGCTGACAAAAAGAGAGACACTGGTATCATCATCCAAAACGTCAACTTCGACCGCGATAGTGTCGTCGCTATTCCAGTCACAAAACTCATAATCGACATACTCCCCAGGTACTACCTGGCCTGTGACTGTCTCTCCCAGGCCGAGTACGCCTCCAATAGAGCTTCCTCCTTGGCTCCCCGGAGCACGCGATGCCTTTTCCAATCGCTTCCGTAACGTCTCTTTGGCTTGCTCTTCTGTTAAAGCCAGTATATCCACTTCTAGATCTGTATCGACGACGCAGATCCCGTCGCCCTGAGGCTCCATCCTATCAACTAGAAACCTGAACGACTCATTCCGTCCTCCAGATACAGCAAGGACCTCGCCGGTAGTTAATGTTGTGAAGTTGTCGCGCAAGTACCGTTCCAGCAATGCCTTCCAGTCTTCCGGATCGTAACCTGCCTCGAGTGGCCGGAGGCGAACGTAGGTACCTTTCGGCAACTGCTTCGCATGTACCGTAACAGTTGGGCCTTGGGTCTCTACCCCGTCCGCAGCTCCAGCCTGCTGAGTATCTGATGCCCCGCCGTTGGTCTGCGACTCCTCGATCCCCAGCGCGTCCCGAAGAAACGCACTAAGACCAACCTCATTCTCCGATGCGGAGAACTCCCGAATCCCAGCATATATTACGCGACCATTCTGAGGGTTCACGACGCGGAACATCAGCGGATGAGGGAGTTGGTGTTGGCGATCTACGTCGTGCTCGCGGGCTCGCGATTCGGCGTCAAAGGTATGCGGGTTGAACGGGTCGAACGTGCGGGTGTGTGTGCGCGCGGCTCGCGGAGAGACCTCCTGGATGGGGGCGACTGCAAGCAATTCCTCGAGGGCGCGTTGTGGTAGTGTGATCTTATCGCCGGGCAGTCGCGGGGTCTGTGGTGGCGGGGTGACGGTGAATTGCGACGACCAGCGCAGGGAGTCTTCGACACCAGCCATCATGTGAGGGGAAGATGGAAAAGTGGTGACGGTATGAGAAGGTGGGATCTTCTTGGGGGGTGTTGTCGAAACGGCATCTTTAAACATTCGAACTGCTGCAGGGAAGCATTGCGTGCCTTCTCGAAGATACCGCCCGCTGTCAGCGGAGAATATCGCCGCCGCAGCTTAAAAATCAAGACCGGTCTACTTTATAGTTACCAAAAACGTCATTTTGTCGTGAAATGATAGGAGTTTTGATTCCCAGATGTGCTTTGTACTGAATCAAGAAATATATACAAAATGGTATCAACGCAAATTCGCATACGCTTACGCCAGCTGAATTGACATCAAACAAGAAAGACAAAAACCCAAAAAAAAAAAAAAACACGTCGGAATGAGAGATATACGCAGGCGTGCAAACACTCGTCTCCACACCGGTACACTCGAGAACAAGAATAGGGTTATGCATGGGACAAATTTGATTGTTGACAGAATCAATAGATGCCCCTCAAGCGATGGCGTGCGCTTGTATTGCACCAGTCACACTGAAGGCAGTTAGTATTCGATCTTCCGACCTGGCCGGATGAGATTTGGCTTACTATATGGTCAGAGCAACCCTCGTTATGTTCAATACAATATTCACCACGGCAGTTCTGGCACTTTCGTTCGACTTCGATCTTGCAGCTCATACACTGTCATCTCATCGTTAACGATCAGTTTCATCATGACATGCGGGATAAAGTCACTTACTGTTGGACCGCATTCCCAGCAGTCTTTGCTAACACCGCGCTCGAGCTCCTGCTCCGGCAATGGACTAGCGCTGCCACTTGCGCTATGAGACCCCTGGACTGCCGTTTGATGCGGCGAGAGATTGACCCTGATCCGAACCGGCTGGGGCAAACAGTCGGAACAGAACCACTTGCTGCAGCGGTGGCACCGACGATCGGTCATGCAGTCCGTGCAACGGGCAATAAAAACCGGGCTCTCGTCGGAGTACAGGACGGGACGCTTCGCAGCCTTGATCGAGGACGAATGGAGAGGAACGGGGGCTAGTAAAGGAAAGTTCTCAAGAGCGGACTGGCCCCAGATAGTCGGACCCTCGGGACAGGTGTTACAGCCATCACAACCCTGGGGTCCTAGGGCTACCGTGGCAATGGCTGGCCCCAGTGATCGACCTTCTGACTGGTTTGTGTTCGCAAATAGGTCGTGTCTAGGCCCGCGACACAAGACTGCATCAAAGGCAATGATGCCTTCGCACTTTTGAATGGTTTTCGCCCATTCCTCGTCAACGTTGTTCTTGAGTAATTGGCCGGATGGACGGTACCAGGCGTTCTGTACCTGGGACTGGGCTAGTTCCGGAGCGGACTCCGCTGACGGAGGCGTGGCACTAGACGATTGACATCTGGAGCCCCACCAGTCACGATACCGAGGTCGCACAGGGGCGCTAGGTTGGCTCTCCATGGGGGTAAAGTGGTAGATGGCCTTGACTCGTGGGGTTCCTGGGGGGCGCGTTGGCCGTACTGAATACTGGAGGGCCTGCATCAGTTTCCGCTCGTTGAGGTGTTGGCAGTCCCTGATTGACAGAATGTTGACATTGAAACGGTCCGATAGCACGATATCGCCGACTACATCAGCCGGAACGGAAAGACCATCCAAAATCAAGGTTCGCACGCCTTGGAGGATCGATCGCCGTGCTAATTTTTCAAAGATACCCCTCAAAGGCGCTGCATAGAACTCATCTTCTGTCACCATGTCTTCGTCCATGGGCACACTCGCAGCAGCACCCGATGGAGCGACCTGGGCGCCGCGACATTGGGTGAGGTCGAGGTGGCGAAACACATAGGGCGTGTCGAGAACCATTGACCGGATAAAGTGTGAAGTCGACGACAGAGCCAGCAGCGATGAGGCACCCAGATATGGAGCCATATGATCAAGGATCAAGCCATTGGACAGCACATCCACGAGCGAGGCCCGTTTGGGCGGCATCACAGTCACGGCACATGGTGGCTGCTCGACGTCACTGTCCTCACTGTCAGATGCCACCTCTTGCACCACCGGCACCAGACCGATTTCTTTGGCTGACAAACGACGGGAGCCATAGAAATCTGGGGCTCGTGTGATGAGATGTTGGCGATAAGCAGTCATGGCCCCGATGGCCAACTCGTCCCGCTGGATAGCTGTCGCAGCAACATGCGGTTGAATTTCCTCGAGAGCGGCCTTGGCCTTGACGAGCTCCGTCTCAAGTAGATCGATAGTAGATTGGAGAACAGCCGGCATGGCTTTGTTGTTACCGGGATCGATAGCAGTGACCAATGTTGACCAGAATTCTGTCTGAGCCATGACCAGCTACGGGAGTAGTAGCCAAATGGATAGCAGATGATGTGATTCTTTTCAAGGGGCTGGGGCAATGTTTAGTACTTAAGACCGTTCAGTACCATTTAGGCGATCACGATGGATCAACTCACCGAAATAAGCTATTTTAGCTAGTATACCTCCGTATTATTTATTGTACGAGTGGGAACAGTGAGAATGAGTTCAATGGAGAAAGAATTAATGAAGAAAAAAGGAGGAAAAGGGCCCCTGGAGAATAGAGCCGATATATGGAAACTATGACTCTATACAATTTGTATGGAGATACCGGTGTACAAGTAGTAGTTGTAGATCTAGTGGACTGACCGGTAACGGATAAGTTTATATACTTGTAACACGATGACCTCACCCCGGACAATGCATGCCCCCCTCGGACTTATAATAATTTCTTTTTCTGTCTGGGGGGGACATACATAAGTCCAACAGCAGAATGCAGATGGGATGGATGCTGATCTGGCGGCCTTCAATTAGCTGAACAAAAGTGGGAGGATAAGGATACCGTGCTGTAATTTACAATACACGCCCAAAAAAGGAAGAATACATGCCCCACTGACGCCGAGATGCTGGAAAAGATCCGCAGGTCACGCGCTTGGCGGCTTCTATTCAGTATCCTAGGTATATACCCCTAATACAGAGTAACACACTATGCACTTGCTAAATCTATCATATTTCAACATAGTCTAATCCAGCCCCTGCACTGCATACACAAATGCCACGGCAGATCACAGCAGGCTTATTGGTTCTTGGCTACTTGGCAATTCTTGACCATTTCAGATCCGCCAAGTGCCAAGCCTGCTGTGTGCATAAGCCAAAAAAATGCAGGCGATCAGATGACCTCGTACCATGATAGTAGTGCTTTGTACATAATGGGATAACGACATTCCATTACTCGAATACTTCAACTCATCCAAGTCCGATACGGAGTACATACTCCGTAGTGCTCTCTCCCATACAAACCCCGGACTGAACCACCGGGATCCATTCTCCGAATACTAATCACTTCGTACTCCACACACTGCCTCTCAATGCCAAGTGCTAACCATTCACATGCAAGTAGTCCGTGAGCATGTTCCCCGAATCCCTCCCCCCCCTCCTGTCGGCAGGAAGCCGATGTTTCTCTTGGTCTTGCTCCGCCGCCTCCGGGATGGTTACTGTAACGGAGTACGGAGAGCGGAATATTGGTCTGCAGATCCCGACCAAGACATTGATGCCACACAGAGTCCTCACTGCCCCCTCTCCCTCCTCCGGGTTATCAAGATCGACGGGGAACAGCGCATTCTGCCTAGTACTCCGCACAGGACAGAAAGTCCTTTGTGCCCAGATTACAGAGTAACTTGGGTGACGCCAGAAAGGCCACACAATGTCTTGGCTCTTGATGCCGTTCTTATGGCTTCTGTATCACTCTCTGTGTTATGTAGGGTTTTTGCTTCTCAAGTGGCCTGTCAATTTTAAATAAGTATAGTGTAAATACCCTATTAAACATCTATAAAACTACTCTATAAATACATATTCACATCCCTTTCAATTTATAGCTCCCAACTCCTTCCTCCATCTCCTCAAGTGGCTCCGAATGTACATCGGAATGTTCTATTGCCGCTTCGCTCTCTCCATGGTCATGTCTTGCATCGATATATGTCAGCGGGCTGAGAAGCCAGAAAGGCAACATATCATCCTGGAGAAACCAAAGACGACCATTGGGCGGCGAACTCGTCGTCTGGGTGAAAGAAATATGGGGTATGTATGTACGATGAGGTATGATAACGCAGCAATGATAATACATGAACTATTCAAGGCCGGACACGCTTTCTTAAAGATACGGGTTGACAAACGTGCCAGCCTGTAAGCGTGCATAAGCAATACGCAGACAAAGAGCCGTGCATCGCTTCGCTTGTGCTGGCGTCAGTTTTCTGATATATCCAATTGGAGGTATCGCCATCGGTTTTGACGTTCAGGGAAGAAGCTGTTGCTTCTCTCATTCGGGAAAGATTCTGGCACTGCCGGACTCTTCTGTGCTGATACCCAAAGCCTATAATAAAGGATCAATACAAGGCAGCCATAATGGTATTGCATATGCAGAGTACTCGGTACACATTTTACCCATTGGTTTGAGGACACACGTCATCAAGATGTGGAATCATAACACAATCAACCAACTAAGGAGTACATTGCATGACCCTCATGTGGAAGGGAAGGGAGACCTCAATCCCTGTAGATAGATGGAGGATAACTAGTGATAAGGTAGTATGCAGAGTAGTATTACATGTCGTCGTGCACCAGTGCCCATCTCTCCAAAAAGAAAAGAAAAAGTCGCCATGCCCAGCCGCCTACTTCCAAAGCTTGCCAAGAGCAGTTTCCTACACAATAAATCAGCTTCCCACAGGGCCAAGACAAGAGAAGACAGGCAGAAACAAAAGGAAATGGGGTGACATACCTTGTCATCGTGCTTGTTCAGAATCTTGGCGGTGGCCAGGTCGAAATCCTCTTGCGTGACATGCACCCGCCGCTCTCGCAGGGCGTACATACCCGCTTCCGTGCAAACACCCTTCAACTCTGCTCCAGAGCAACCATTCATCTTCTCCGCAATCTTCGTCAGGTTGATGCCACGGGTCAGGTTCATTGACCGCGAATGAATCCGGAGAATATCCGCACGAGCCTCCACCCTAATGATTGACGAAGCCGGCGGTCAGCACTCTTATACATTCCAAGAAGATAAGGGAGGGGGGGAGAAGTAGGTTACTTACGACGGTGGGGGGAACTCAATCTTCCGGTCAATTCGTCCTGGCCGTAGCAATGCCGGGTCGAGGATATCCAATCGGTTGGTGGCCATGATAATCTTGATATTCTTGGTGGGTTCAAACCCGTCCAACTGGTTGAGCAGTTCCAGCATGGTACGCTGCACTTCCGAGTCTCCACCGCCGGCAGAATCGATACGGCTGGAACCGATACTGTCGATTTCGTCCATGAAGATGATACTCGGAGCATGCTCTCGGGCCATTACGAACAGTTCACGGACCATCCTACTGCCCTCACCGATATACTTCTGAACCAGCTCAGATCCACTAACCCTGATGAACCGGCAGTCCGTATGATGAGCCACTGCTCGAGCAAGGAGCGTTTTCCCGGTTCCGGGAGGCCCGTATAGAAGAACTCCCTTGGGTTGCTCAATACCCAGCGACTCGAAAAGCTCCGGATGCTTAAGACCCAACTCAATAACTTCTTTGATTTCCTTGATCTGCTGATCCAAACCACCGATCATGTCGTATGTGCTGTCGGGGACCTTCTCGACCATCATCAACGAGACCAGCGGGTCAACAGAGGACGGGAGCATCTTTTCGAGCTTGTAGGAATCGGACAAAAGGGCTACCCGTTTGCCCACGGTGAGCTTCCCAATGTCAACACCGTCCGCAATGTCGACAACTGTAGTAGAGAAAACGGTCCGAGTCAGTCAAACAATCCACGCCCTGTGGCAACAGAACCCAATAAAAAATAATTCCATCCAGACGAAAACTTACCATATTTTCCTTCTGGGTGTACTTTGACGAGAACCTTCTTGGTACTCATCACCTTGACCACTTCGCCGACGTAGGAGCCAGGTTGTTGAAGAAGGCCCAGCTCCTCCCGCAGTAGGCGTACTCTTGAGTTGTAGTCATTTCGTTGTGCTTCAAGTCGACGTAAGACAGCTTGACCCTGAATAATCTCGAGCTTCATGCTCTCGATCTTATTGCGGTAGTAGTTGTCGAGCGCCATGATAGGTGAACGAGACACGCTCCTTCGAGCACCCAGGACAACACCACTCGGAGCTTTGGGAAAGACGTTGACAGGAGCTCCCAGGATAGAAGAAATGGAGTGATCAGTAATTGAAAAGTCGAGAGAATGGGAGGCTACCGATATGGGGGGGGAGGAGAGGTAAGAGAACGGGGTAGATGGGTTGGATGGAGTCAAGCGGCTGTCATCAAACAGCTGTTGGAGCCGGCGTGTGGCTTGATCGCTGATATCAGTAATACACAAGCCACTATATCTGCCTGAGGTATAAAGAATGGCAGTGCAGCCACGTACATCATTGCGGTCAGACGCTGAGTCAGCACTTTCATTCCTTATCTGCATCACAAGGTGGCTTCTGATTGGCCAAGACCGCTCTCCATGGCAGCTGGGGCACTGAGCCAATAAAAAGCGGTAAAGCATACACTCATGCCATCATCCATGAAGCCATTCAATTTATTTACTTTCTTGGAACTCGCTCAGCTGACGGCGCGGGGATAGCAGTTATCTACTCAGAGTACGCAGAATCTATCTATTTATTCTCATCTCACTCACTCACTCTCACTCTCTGTGACTGAACAGAATCTACACTTGTTCTGTCGTGGTGGCTTTTATCTGATGCTCTCGCGTCTTCCGCGACTTGAATTAGCCAACCTCTTTCTGACGCTTCGACGGCACCATGCCATTTCTCGTCCAAGACGATAACTAGCCGGGATTTCTTTTGCTTCTGTTGCTGCCTTAAGTGCTGGTCACTTTATTTTGTAAATTTCTTCCCTCGTGTTTCGCCTCTTTTCTTTTCTCTTTGCCTTATCAAGGGCTCCTCCGTTTCGTATCCCTTTTTGTTGCACTCAGCATTCTTTGCCCCTCGCCCCTAAACAAGAGCGAAAAAGAAGAAGAAAAAGGAAAGAAAGATATGGATTCAAATAAAACAGATGTTGGTTCACCTGATCCCATGCCTTCAGAAGCTGAGAATCTTCCTTCTGGAGCTGGGGCCAGTGGCCGGCCGACGAGACCGCTGGGGCAGAGTAGGAGAAGCTACGGTGCGCATCATCCAATTTCTTATGGATCATCCCAGTGAAAGCTCAAATTCAACTCACACTTTTTGCGACAGGTACGCTAGAACCTCCAGACAGAATGGGTTCCGAGTTACGCCCGGAAGAAGGTCCACTGGAAAGTTCCAGTCGCATGCCTGTTTCGCAGTCGCCATCAATAGCGCCCTTGCAACAACAGTCTGATAGGCCTAGAAAGCCTTCTATGTCGCGCCATATGTCTTTCAAGCGACAAAAACCGCACAAAAGACAGGGGTTTTCCACCGATGACGACGTCAAGGAGGTCGAGGAGGATATAGCCATCAAGCAGGCGAATAATCCGCAATCATCCCCGAGAATACGTCCACTACGCACACAAAGCTCGACTTTGAGACGAAGATTGAGTGCTCGACCTACCACTCTGGTGCGAGCAGACTCCGACACTAACCTCGCAGATGAGTCGGGCTTACCGGGTCCTGGGTTGGGAATCCAAGAAGAAGCAGAATCGCCTTCGCAACCGGGTGGAGGTGACAACAGTAGTGACCATGATCATGATATTGATGAGGATGCGACCAGTGATGCGGAAAGCTTCACGCTCAAGGACCGCCAACAGGCGATCAACGAAACACATCCCTTTGGAATAAGAATATGGAAGCCTGCATTGTACAAAAAGAGTCGGTCTGTGGAGAAGACAGCAGAAGGCGATATCCACTCCTCGCCAGGAGGTCGAGTGAGCATGATGCTTTTCTTGACTAACCTGCTGTGGTCGCTTTTCTTTGGATGGTGGCTTGCTCTTGCCGCTCTTCTGGGCGCGGTGGCGTGCTTTGTTTTCGCGTATTCACCAAGTGCAGTGGCATATGGGAGGATCTTCGCAGGCCTCTCGTGGTATATCCTCTATCCATTTGGGTCCTTCGTTCAGCTGGAGACTGATGAACATTATGCTGAGGAAGATGAAGGAGAAGGGCGCAGTATCAGCGAGTATGAACAATGGCAGAACGGTGATATCGAGCACGGAGGGCTCTTCTTTGGCCCTCGCAGCAATCGGTCTCTGGTTGGCAGGCGTAGGAACAGTGTTGACTCCGCAGGCGAACAGGATAGTCTCCTTGGCCGGCAGCAGAGAGGCCATCATCGAGATCTCTCTTTAAGTCACCCCAAACGACGCTTGTTTGGTCGTGGAAATTGGACTCTAGGCCGGGTCGTCTTCTATACGTTCTTCTATTTCCTCATTGGGCCCCTGATGCTCCTGGTTTCCCTGGTCTGCTGGTTGCTCGTGTTCTGGATCCCCATGGCTCGTGTCACCACTGTCCTCCTCAACCATCTCCGTCGACATCCTCTTGCTCTATCATTCCATTCTGATGCAACAAGTACGCGGCCAAACTCTGATTCGTCGTCGTCTTCTTCATCTATACTTTTATGCACATACCGTGCGGCCGGCTTAAGATACTGGAAATATACTCTGGACGGCACAAACATCTTCTTAATCAACCTCCTCTGCGTGGTATTGTTTGCAATCTTTGATTACTACTTCCTGAGTCAAACTCTGGGTCTGCAATCCCCGTTGACGCATCCAGGTCTGATATTCATGCTTTCCCTCATTTCCATCATCCCATTGGCATATTTCATCGGCCAGGCCGTGGCGTCGATATCCGCACAGTCATCAATGGGCTTGGGTGCGGCCATAAATGCTTTCTTCTCGACTATAGTAGAGGTCTATCTTTATTGTGTCGCTTTGACCGAGGGTAAATCCCAACTTGTCGAAGGCAGTATCATCGGTAGTATCTTCGCCGGCATCCTATTTCTCCCTGGGCTGTCCATGTGCTTTGGTGCTATTAAGCGCAAGACTCAACGGTTTAACGTCAAATCTGCCGGAGTGACGTCTAACATGTTGATGTTCGCTGTAATCGCTGCGTTTGGGCCTACGTTATTCTACCAGGTCTATGGCAGTGTGAGTTTCCGCTTGTTTTACCCACTTTCATTTATAACCCCGTACTGACTCTTATGCTGCTAGCACGAATTAAACTGCCGCTCTTGCAGCTCGACCGCGGAAGCCGTTAGCAGTGATTGCCGTCGTTGCTATTTCTCTCAGATCCCTGCCGTGAATGATAAGTTCTTCCGCAAGGCCGTTCAGCCCTACTCGTGGTTTGCAGCGTTGTTTTTGTTCCTGTCCTATGTGATCGGTCTATGGTTTACCCTAAGAACTCACGCTGCCCTCATATGGGCTACCGAAGCTGAAGAGAAAAAGGCTGTGGCTCTCGCTCATGATCCAGCTCCCTACGAACCGAGACACCTTCTGTTCCCCGATGGACCACAAGCGTCTACCAGTGCGAATCCCAATGCGAAGGCCTCCATCCGTGAGTCCCAGTTATACAAACGAATTCTGGGACAATCCTTAAAACAAGTTGGTCTGCCGGACATCAATCCAGACGACGCGTTGGAACAATCGACATCCAGCGCTGGTCGTGGTAACAACAAGTCGCCGTATCTCGTTCCTCCACGCCCCGAATCGACAGGACTGAAGAATTTCAGTGGCCTTTCAAGCCAAGATAACGAGGACCTGGTCCGCCAGGTCACAGAAGTCGCAGCTACGGCTGCAGCTGTCGCTGCTCGTGATGCAGCTCGAGCGCGGAAGCCTTCAATCCAGCAGCCCCCCTCGCGCCAAAGCAATAATAAGGATAAGGGAGCCCCCGACCCAGTGAAGGCGATTCTTGAGAACGAGGATGTTGGACTCGAACATGCGCATGCCAGCGGTGGTCATGATGCGCCCAATTGGAGTAGAACCAAGAGCTCCGTCGTGCTTCTTGGTGCTACGGTGCTCTATGCAATAATCGCCGAAATCCTGGTAAACACTGTAGATGTGGTGTTGGAGAGTGTTGACATTGATGAGAAGTTCTTGGGTATCACACTTTTTGCATTGGTTCCCAATACCACGGAATTCTTGGTATGTTTTTAATCCCGTTCCTGTTATATCGCTTCGATTTCACTCATGGACGATATCATCTAGAACGCTATCTCCTTTGCAATGAATGGCAACATCGCATTGTCTATGGAGATCGGTTCGGCCTACGCACTACAAGTCTGCCTTCTACAGATTCCTGCTTTGGTCTTGTTCAGCGCCTTCTACTGCCGTCTAATCGACCCAGCCGAGCTCGTGAACCATTCATTCAAGTGAGTACACTACTAATTCCCAAATTCACAACAAACCAAGATTCGCTGACAAATCTTCCTTAATTAGCCTTATCTTCCCTCAATGGGATATGATCTGCGTCATACTATGCGTCTTCCTTCTATCCTACGTGCACGGAGAAGGAAAAAGCAACTACTTCAAGGGATCGATCCTTGTCCTCACGTATCTTGTCGTGGTCCTCGGTTTCTACCTATCTGGATACAGTAACCTGGAGACCATGGGCGTGGACAGGTTTGATACGCTAGCGCTCAGCGCTGACAGGACCGAGAAGTTTTACACGATAGGCCGGTCGAGTAGCGGAAACGCATATTGAGGTGCACATCTGCGTAAGTATCAGCGGATATTCAACCCAAGAAAAGAAGGGAAGGGACGAAAATTGGAACCGTATCATCTGCCTGCATTTGCTTAACATGATGTACATTATGAGATAAACTACCCCTTTGTATACCTCACGCGACGGGATTTGATAGCTTCGGTTTACGGTGGTTCCAGATTGGCGTTAGGTTCTTATAAGTCTACTTCATTGCTTCCCTTTTCATTTTCTACCTCATTTTCGATTCTCTTAAAGTTCGTTTTAAACAATGAATATCAGCCTTGATAATATCAACTTCTGCTATCAACCTTCTCCACCTAAACCGCGCTCACATGCATTTCCTACTCGTTGGAAGCCATACCAAGCCCCTTCAGCTCCAGCACGCCTGTCACCCCCGACTAGTCCCATTCCATTTAAACCATGTGCCCCCACGATGGCGAATATTCCCACCTGGAATGGTACACCAGGAACATCCCAACAGTCTCAAGATCTGAGGGTGTCCTCCAGTGGGAGTACAACGGCAGTTCGCAATGAATTTGATATCGAGTTTGAGGACACTTGTCCGGTAGAAAACAGCTCGATAGTGTCTGAGAAGGGTCCAGAGACAAACAATGCCCGTGGCCACCAGGATAAGAACATCAAGGATGTATTTTCGAGCCAGAACGCGCCCTCAACAGTTAGTATGCTTGACCTACGGTGGACACGCCTCATGGCTTACTAATTTTGGACATGTAGATTCGGTGGCAGAGGTGACACAACTACAGACCAATGATGGTGATGGTCGTGAAATCGTGCATCATGGACCGGCAGTCGAAATGGATGACGTCATGCAGGAGCGGTCGCATCAGCAGGTGTTTCCATCGATGGAGACTGCTAGTTATTCAAACTCGGAACAGGTTGGAACTGAGCAAGAGTATCCAGGTAGGCATGATTCACCTGTGGCTTGTTACATTTTCCTAATACACGATTGACCCTCCAGTGGCCACTAGTCTGGGCTTGCCTGAAGATCACATTGAGGCTTTAGGAACTAGCCACCAGAGCAGTGCAAGAATGTCATCACCAGTATGTAGCAACTCATACGCGCGGATCTCTCAGTCACCTTCAATGGGAGTCTTGGATAGCACACTGAACATTGGAGGTGAATCTCGAGCTGAAAATGTTCAGTTTGAGGAAACGGCTGTCGAGGGATCTAAAGGCGAGGCCGTCCCAAGCTATGAAGATGAGAATGCAATGGATGAGGCGAACATTACTGAAAGCCTCTAATACAGGAGCCTTGGGGTCGAAAATCTAAGTGCCAATATGGGTGAGAGAGATGAGAGACCTGATGACAATGATGGGGAAGGTGCCACCTCCAGTTCCAAGCAAACCCATCCTAATGTACCCTTGAAAATACCTGCAGGTCGCTTTCTCTCTCTGTGTTGTCATCCACAGGAAAGACCTGGAAGGGCAAAACAATTCCCATCCATCTCTGAGATCACGCTGATCCGTCAGCCAGACAGTCAAGCGACAAAAACCACTAGAACCTGCAACCTGAATGGTCCGAGGTTGCCAAGATCCTAAGAATAACCACAATAGCGAGAGTAGTCCGCCATCAGGTGGGCTAGTTCTGGAACGCTCGAGCATGGAAGAGAATCCCAAACAGTAATGTATGCAGGCAGAGCACTAATGATGGCCTGTAGATCACTTCCGGGAGTGCAAAGGTTGTCCTATCTATTGGTTAGCTGGCATGCTCGAGGTCATATGACAAATTCTTAGAATGTCTACAGAGCGTCCATGTGATAGGAGCCAGTGCAGGCAAGAAGGGTAGAGGAAATTGGCCAAATTACAATTTAGTTTGCCTGAGAAACTTTTTTGTCCCCTCTGCGGTGAGTTCAATCAGAGGAATTGGAGGTCCACTGTGAGGATCCTTCTGAAGGGAAATTTGAAGATCCTTGAACTGGAGACTCAGTAGCGCGTTTCTCTGATGAACAGTGAACAGACCCAGGGAATTGAACAGGCACACTTGGATACACTGGAACCCAAGATAGAACTTCTTTTCTTGCATAGACAGGATGGTTTCATTAAATGGACCAATATCCTTGATATAAACTGGTGTCTTCTTTCCAGGTTGGGTGTCTAGCCCGTTCTCTTGGACTAGATATTTGATGCCCTGTGTTACAGATCCCAACGTATCAGTCGCACGTGACTATGCGGGGAGTCAGGGCAGAATCATTGGGTGATAAGCCACGGTGGCCGCACGTGTCACATTTCCGACGTAAAATAGCAACTACTACTACATAAGCCACGGTGGAATGCAGGAAGGAACAAGGAAAGTCACTCAGGGATTAGGATAACAACCGATAGGCACAACACGTGACTTGACTACCATATACCATGGCTTGGCATTGGTAGATGGTATACGGCTACCATCACGACTACCATCGAGAGGGTAGTTCGAATGGTATATGAAGTGAAGGATATATAAGGACACTCATTCATGTACTTAGTTTAGTTCTTCGCGATTGTTCTCGTCAATAAAGCATTGGTTACCTTTCTAGTTCAGACTCGTCAGCACTAAAACCAACAGCTAAGTATACGTCACAGTACCTATAACTCCATCAGCAAAGACTGACTAAGATGCAGCACCACTAGAATAACAGACTGTTTCCAGTGAGTTTAAATCCACTCTCACTGCAAGATTGTTCCTTCTGCCTTATCAAAATCTTCAGGGATCTTGAACAGGTCGATCCCAGTATCATCAAGTGGGTCATTGTAGAATTCTCCTGCGTCATCAGGTTCTCCTGATTCCAAAGCGGGGTGGCTTTCATCCGCCTGAAAACGTTTTCATGGGCTCGGGGTATCATCTGGCTCCGTCAAATCTGTCTCATATGTAGCGTCACGCTGTTCATCTGAGTCAGTACTGCTACTTGTGACGTTATCCACGCCACAGTTACTTTCCAGATGTCTATTCAGTCAGGACAGTGGGCATTTCATCGCTTGGATTCAACGGAATTAGATAACGAACGAACACCGGTTTTGTATGGAGAGGGAGGGGGTAGAAAGTAAGACGAAGACACAGCAAAGCTAGAGAGCAAATATAAAGCAGTGAGCAAGCTTCTTCTTGTTCATGCAGTAATGTGGAAATTGGTATATGGAAAAAAAGCTTGTAAATACAGGAACCCAGAATAATAATATAAATGAGATAGGAAGATGGCAGGATGACTGGAAAGTTGAGGCACATAGGAAGAGGCCACAATAAAAGAGTGGGCGCCATGGCGGCCTGGGCTCTAATACAGTGCCATGAGGCCATTTTCAGCGCCGTCACGGAACGGCGACTGCAGCCGTGACGCTGATGCAAAAGGTGATCCTTCGTCGAAAGACGGAGAAGGATGGAACACCCGCAGTGGGGGGCCCTGAAACAAGGAGTCGGGGTCGGGGGTACGTGGTCGTAAACACACCTGGCCGTGGTGAAAGGTATGGATCACGTGTTACCAAATGACAGCCGAAAAGGGCGTCGTCTGAGGCCGAAAATCGCAGCCATTTGGTAAACACAAATTGTCAGAGTGTAAAAACAGATATTATACTTGGAAAGTCTTGATTGTCGTAAAACGTTGCGCAATATTACACATTTGGTTTGTTTAGATCCCCCACAAAGCTTTTAGTAACCTAACTCATAACACATAATCATACATCTATGTCAGCTTTATTTCCACGATCCCACTGTCTGGTCGACAAGAGCGCGATATTCCTGCTGCTTGTGGCATTGCTCGAGGAAGACCTTGTACTTCACGTCGAGCAGAGCCTTCTCGTTCTGATTCGTCGACGGGGGTACCTTCCTTCCGGGCTTGCTAAATCGGTCCATGATATCCCACAAATCCTCGGTTTCCCCCTCCTCATCGGCACTGGCCGCTTTGGCACCCAACATGGCAGCACCATGGCATACCGCGGCATGGACGTACCGCGGGATCACAACGGGCATGTTACAAGCAGTAGCAACAAGTCCAACCAGGATGTCATTCTGGCATTGAGAACCAGACATGAAGACGGATGTAAGTTTGTGGCCAGCTTCGTTCATGCTCTCGACAATTTGCTTTGTCTGCAACGCAATGAATTCAAGCGTGGCATAATAATGGATGGCAAGACCATCAACCGTCTTATCGCTGGTGAGACCAATGACCGAACCCTTCATCCCAGGATCTGCGATGGGAGAGCGGTTGCCCCAGAGATCACCGTAAAAGAAGAAGTGGCGTGCCAGATAGGAGATACTGGGGGCCTTTTGTTCTTGAGTCATCTCCTTCAAGTGCTCGTTCAGATAAACGTAGATGTTGGCGTTGTACGACTCTGCAATGGATTTCGCTTGATTATAGGCCGGGTGAGTTTCGATGACATACTTAAGGAGCTCCCCTGTCGCAGATTGGCCACCTTCGGCCATCCAATATCCAGGTTGGATGGTGTCACGGTATGGGCCCCAAACTCCCGGAACGAAAACAGGGTCAGGGGACATGGCAAGATGACAGGTAGAAGTTCCAGCCACAGCCGCGAGACGCCCGAAGGCTTGAGTTTTGTCGTTTTTGGCAGCACCAGCGCTCAGCTGACCAGCTTCGAAGTCAACCTTGGCGCCGACAGTCCCGATCCAACCAGCATATGCATCAATAACAGGGCTACCAACAGCGATTCCTGCTGGTAATCCAAGCTCCATAGCTGCCTTCTCGGAAAGGTGGCCGACAAGTTCACCGGCACTGAGGTAATCACCGTTCTAAAGAAACAGAAGAGAATGTTAGCTTTCAATGCCCTAATTGAGAACTTTTGAAACGATTCGAAAAGAAATAGGCTCACCACCCCGTCGACTCCACCCATCCGCTTAAAGTTCTCTTCTGTAAGGTCCTTGAGGCCAATATCCGCAAGGAAATCTTCCTGCCAACCCTTCACACTTCCATCAACACCGACAGGAACATAACCTTGTTTACATACGACACTGCAGAAACTTCGCTTCTCATCTCCGGTAGCAATGTATGTTAGTGCATCAGCCAGATCATAGAATTTGCACTTGTCGAAAAGTTCCTTAGGCATATGATTCTTCAACCACAGCACCTTGGGGATCTCCATCTCAATGGACATTTTGCCGCCCACGTAGCGGAGCAGGTTGTGCTGAGTGGCATTCACCACTTCGGTTTCCTCCACCGGACGGTGGTCCAGCCAAAGGATGACATTGCGGTCCGAGTCAAAGTCGGGGCCTGTTATGGAAACTGGCTCATCGTTGACGTTTGAGAAAACGGATAATGAGCATGTAGCATCGAATCCGATACCCTTGACCGATTCAGGGTCGACATTATTCTCGCTGATGGCTCGCTGGACGCAAAGACAGATGCAACGCCAGATATCACTAGTAGATTGTTCCTATACGGTTGGCCATTGGGTCAGTGAAGGTCCTAATAAGAACTAAAGCCTTACTCTGACTTACATAGTATCCTTGTTGTGGTTGCCAGAGACCAATGTTCTCCGAAGATAAACCGACAATATCACCCTTGGCGTCAATGATGCAAGCACGGGCACTGCCGGTGCCAACGTCGATTCCGATGAAATGATCGAGGTGACTGGAGCCCTGCTGGGAAGGGCGGTGGTGAGGTGAAGCCATGGTGGCTACGAAGGGGAGGAACGGTGATTAGGGAGCTCTTTCAACTATGTCAAAAAGGTAGACACAATTCTTTCTCCTGGACAGTTTCAATGCTATCAGCTAACTAGACTTGAGAAATTGGGAAGAGCTGCAACAAGCTTACAGGAGGTGTGCTCTTTCAAAAATATCTGGACGAAAAGCAGAATGTTTCAAAGAGGATCACACAGAATTAGTGGAAGATGTGTCTAAGATAGCATCGATGGCGGGACCGGATTTAACAGGCGAGAGGGAGCTATGACCGCATCGGACCCAGGCCCGTGGGGCAAAGGTCGATGACATTAATTTGTGGAGAAATTGGGATGGTGGAGTCATGTGATTCGCAGAACAATCGCGAAAAGCAGAGGAATTTATATCAATACATAATAATAATGCTGCGCCCAGAACAAATATGTAGGAGTATCAAGCTTTTCCATCTATAAAAAATTCTCAGTAGCAGCGGAAGACTATCCTCCGGCCAATGGCTGGAAGACACCGGTACATAGTATTCCAACTCAATTGCGATCCCCGACAGGGATCTTTCCGGATTTTAGGCTATAGGTTCGCAAACGTTGGTATTTTGGTGCCTCAGGAACAAATTATGCAAAATGGGCTGGCAATCATACAGTACATGTATTGTATGGTAAAGTTTCGGCGGACCTTCCCGTTTTGGTCACTATTATCAATTCAACTTCTTGCAGAGCTGTCTACATGCGCGGAGGTACTTGTACACATCAGATATTCCTTGCAAGCAGCTCGCAGCAGAAGCCAAACTCGATTCAGGTATATTTGCTTAAAGACTCATAGCCATTGAGCCCTTCCCCCCCCTCTCCCTTTTTCTTTTTCTTTTTCACCCTGGGGCCGAAGACTGACCGGTCATCTTCACCAGTGATCCTGTCGCAACATGAAGCGCGCCTCTACATGAACCTAAGAATTCTCCCGTCTAGACTTCTAAAAGTATCATTTGATCATATCCTCGTCCCCCGATAATACTGCCTATCATGCTCTTCTCGCCCATAATCCTTCCGATTCTCTCTTCCCTGGTCTTATTCGTGGCTGCCGCGTCCTCTTCTGAACAGGCCGCAACCGACATCCTCTACTGGCCCGTGGCGTCTCATCAACCCTCGACCCTCGGTCGCGTATCATACGACCCGACATCTTTGGAATCAAACGTCTTGTCGTATTCCCCTCCCGCCGCAAGCCGCAAGACTACAGACGCCGAAGACCACACCGATAAGCTCGTCCGCGTTGGCCTATACACATCGACTCCAGCTAATCCCAAGCAATGGGTTGGAACCCTCACTTCATTGTCATCTCTCACGGGTGTTGGTGATGCCAAACCAACGATTCAGCTTCATTTGGGGCCTTCGAATGAGGTCTACCGTGTCTCCTTAAGACTATCGTCGTCTTCGTCTTCGAGTGATGCCACAGAAGGAATCAAACCGGGCGTTGAACTGGTGCGTACTGAATCAGGGCCACGTCCACATCTCAACCGGCCTATCGTGATTAGTCCAGATGGGCAGGGTCCGCAGGAGGTTGTCGAGAAGACATTCTTCCAAAAGTGAGTTCTCTTCCCTTCCCGTCCCTGATTGTCAGGTGATGCATCTGACAAAATTATACCACAGGTATTGGTGGGTCTTCCTCATAGTAACGTTTCTGGCAATGTCCGGTGGTGGAGAGGGTCAACAATAAGCACTACTTACAGAGTACTGCATATAATCAAACATATTACTTTATGAAGAAGAGTGTGTTCTTTGCAAAGCAGTCGACGGTCATATCACATCATCTTCCCTGTCAGCCATTTTAATATATTTCTACCTGGGGTGCTTCGTCGTGGAAATGCTACAAGCCTACAATGATCATTGCAGTGTGTATAAAAATTCTAGTATATATCGGAGCATATCAAAACAAGCGAGGGTGGACATCAAGCGTGGAACAAGATCATTAGCATGGACAAGCTGAAGAGCGAGGTTGTCTGCTTTTATTGCAGCAAAAGACGGCCAGAATTCATTGCTATAGAACTGTCCTAAACCGTCTCATTCAAGCAAGCGAGCAATTATAGGGCCAGTGATGAATCGTCTTTTCACCTTTAGCCAACGGGCTGATGTCCCAATACATCACGCCGCGATCTGTGAGGGCCAACAACTCATCTTCATTTTCCATGAATCGCAGCTTGAAACAAACAGCTTCTAGCGGAAGGACAATGGGTTGTAATTCGACCGCTCCAGTGTTTTCTGATCGCGAAGATGGTCGATAGAAGTCATCGCTGTTCTCTCCGATAAGTGCATTAGGCTCCAATGCCCAGACGTGGATGATATTCCAGTTGGCCATTGCGATGCGCGTGCCGCGGGGTGAAGCAGCAACAATGCCACCGAGAGAGCTTGTTGGGACTTGATAGCCGCAGAGGTGCCCAACTATTGTCCATTCAGGAAGTCGTCGCCCGCGGTCAAGGTTCAAAACATGCCCGCAGTTGCGAGATTGGCAGAATGTTTCAGACTTCAATAAGCACGCAACAGTCCAGTTCTCTTCTCGATGTTTGGCGATCCCGAAAGAGAGATACCTCCAATTACACATTGGGTTACCGTCGCGGGAGTGTGTTCTGTGCGTGCCAAAGAACGGAATCGAGATTGAGAAAGGAAGACTCAAGGAATCAGAAAACTGCACTGTGCTTGTATTCCAATGTAGGTCAAATGTCGACAGATGTTGATAAGACCCATATAAAGTTTGTGCCCGGTGGTAGTAAAGTAGTTGACTTGATCTGTCGTTGAAGCTAAGAGCTATCACTGGCCCTCCAACTGGGCGCGGTCTGCTTTCATCAATAAGATTTGACGAGTCGTAATTGATTTCTGGTGTTTGTCAGCGAGTGTATGGTAGATATACAAGAATGGGAATTATGAAGGAGAGGATGTGGAGAATGGGTAGTGAAATAACCGACCGATTATGTTTGTATCCTTATCGGGTACCTCATCCGTTACATTGTACAGGACAACATCAAAATCATGATCATCTCGAGGATGCTGCCAGGAGATAGCAAATGTGTCCCTGTCGGCAACCGCAATGGCCAAGGCCTCATATTCAGAGTGATCCGGTAAATAGCACGTCCGAATATGGTAATCAGATGACTGTATTTCAAAATGAAACAGAACGACCGTCCTATTATGCCTCGACTGTAGTGCTTGTTGGACAAACGGATGATCTGCATCTGGACCATCTTCATATATATTGGGCGTAAACCGACAAAGGACGTAAACATCACGCTCCCCACGAACGGTCGTCTTGAGCACCTCCATTACCCCCAATTGCTGCTCATGCTGTTCTGGCACTTTCAGTCGAGCCCGGGGTGAAATAAATCCTTCGTCTCCAGCGTTAAAGAGGAATACATCGGATTGGCCCTTGACGGCAAGTGCAAGACTCGTATCCCCGGAAGGCGCAAGTGATGAGGCTTGAACATCAATTTCCTGGGACTCAAAACCGAATGCCTTGCAACTTGCGCGGAATTCTGCACCATACAATTGCCGAAAGGAGCGTTTAATCAATAATTGGAATAGTTCTTTTGTCTCGAGGAAATGCACGCCTGTGACTACACCAGGTGTTTGGTATACATGATGCAAGACCAAACTGTGGCAACTTGTCGCAGCTTCATAAAGAGCACGACAAGCAACCGTGACTTGTAAATATGCCGGGGTGCTGGTATTTTGAAGGACAAGCAGTAATAATTCAGGAGGAAGTTCTAAGAGCATGGTTTCAGTAAGTTTTGTTGGCTGCTGCTTCGTACTGGGCACAGATTAGGTGAAAATGATCTGATTAGTATGTCGAGAAAGCGAAATGCCGGGTGGTCTTAAAATACATGGAGGAGATAAACCAAACAAAAGATATTCAAGTAGATTTGAGCTGGTGGACACAAAGACGGAACACAGCTTGGGGGTAAGCCTCCCTTTTTATAAATCGGATTGCGCTAAAGGCGGAGAGCATCCTGAGGCTCCCAACCACCATTGTTGCCTACATTTACTCCGTACAGAAGGCTCCAAGCCTCCAACAGAGGAGACTTTGACCACAATAGCCAGGCAGCAGTCCTTTTCCAGACCTGGATTGAAGCCCAGCTTGAAGTGAATTTATTGTAGATGCAATTTCTGTGAGAAAGTACGAATTAGGGCTATTCCCTTCTCTAATCCATAATACGCCACGGTCCCCAAATGAACAAAGAACACCCAAAAATGCGTTATTTATATACATGCACCAGGGCAGTATGACAGATTATAAGTATAGTTAGTCCAAGAGACCCATGCAGATAATCCTCAAGACCATAATATCAAAGCAAGAAATTTGCATCATTGCAATGGGTATCCCATATAATACGACGAGAAGGAAAACGCGTCAATCAAATGAGATCTCGCACGGGTGCAAAAGAAAAGTAATAAACCACAATATATTCAGATGAACCTTCATTGGGAAATATCATCCCCATCCGACATCTGAGATACAACCCACTCGAGCACACTCTCGTAACAAAGCACGAACTGACCGAGGTTTTGTACCATACTTGGTCTCTGAGTCCGAAAATCGGCGACAGTCTTTGCGATGAGATCCAGCTCTTCATTACAGACCAACCCATCATCGGTCGGGTTCTCGTTATCATTGGTCGATGAATGCTGTGTTTTGGAGCGCTGTCGTTTTAGCATGTCCAATGTACTATCAACGGCACAGAATGTACCAGTGCGCCCACAGCCCGCACTACAATGCACCAAAACCGACCGCTGCCCCTGCGGTTCTGCCTCGCTACTGCTGAAAGCGGTATTACTGGTGGCCTCGATGACTTTGTTACACTGCTCAATCAACTGCAACAGATGAGATGGCTGCGCGGTGGTGCCGAAATCAGGCCAATAGGGATATTGAAGCTGCGTAACTTCCCGTAGCGGTTGGAATGGAAACGCAGAGTGGGACAGGCCAAAGTGTCTGACAATAATGCAAGGATCGTCACCCTCATTTTGTTGATTGGAGTCGACTTGCGCCGCCGATGGTTTTATGCCGGAGTCGTTTGCCAGTGACGAACCCGGCCTATCCATGTAGACATATCTCTGCGAGAAGTTTTTGACCTGAAGAGGCCCATACGTCCCAGACTCCCAGTACGGATGACACTTCACTTGGCCCCGTTCAAATTCTGCGGTGAGCGCAACAACCAATCTGATATCTTGCTCCCAGACAACGCGCCAGAAATCCTAACAAACATATCAGCCGATATCCAATCCAGAATATTTCAGGGCGAAAGGATCCATAAAACCACAAAGAAAAATGAAGAAGCACTCACGTTGAATGTATCTGGCACAGGGGCCTGGGTCGCTATATAGCTTCTGTTACTGTATTCGGCTTTCAAATGGTTCCCATTCACATAATCGCAGCCACCGGTTGGCTCATTTTGAAGTTGGACACGAGAATGATCAAATGGATAGATATCGTTGTACCTATTCTTGGTCCCTTTTTCAATGCCGGCGATGCGATATTTTTTCGATGAGGCAGCATCGACCGTCGATTCATAGGAGAACGCCTGCTTCATTCGCTCCAACTCCTTTTCTTCGAGCCTCAAGAATTTTTGCGAGACGCTGTGGCCTCGATCACTGGGATTCGAAGCATCCCGTAACCAGGAGGGTAACAACCGTCTTTTTGACTCAGTTAACTGCCTGGGAAGTTGAAGAGACATCTGCCCAACACCTCCTAAAAGATCCATGTGTTGGCGAATATTCCCGAAAAAGGGGATGACTGTGGCGGATGACTCCGGCAAAGCGCACCCACCGGCGACTGGAGCAACGGCTGGAAGACTGATATGCATTGAAGTTGGCTTCTTCGGGGCAGCCTTTGTTGCCGCCTGCAATTGTTCTCCTTGCTGATTTTGCGTGAGGCCGGGAAAACAGTTCGAGAACGTCTTGAAACCACCTTTTAGGATCATTGCTTCACCGTCCCAACCCTCAGCCGTGAACTTCTTCAGCAGATTTGATAGCGGCCCCGCGTCCTTCGGATCAGCTGTAGCGGCATCATAGACGACGATATAGCGGCATTGTCTCCATCTCGCAAAGTTCATCTTCGCGCTATCATCCGTAAATGTGTTCTCCAACTTCCGTGTGTCGAACGAGGGCCGCTTGACGAGGGTGGTTGGGATGCAAAGATTCAGCGACCCTCTGATATTAGACTGCGCAAAATGCGTAAATGGACGCACATCCAAGAATATCGATTCCCGATGGGCTGATATAACTAACTCGGCGCAACGCTTGGCGGACGCGAAATTGACCCCATGAGCGGGATGCGATGTCTGAGACCCGGGTTCGGGTGTATTTTGGCGCGAAACGGTATTTGCCAACCCACCCTGAAACGACAGCTGAAAAGGACGGGGCGGCTGGACGGATGTCTGTTGCATTGAATCCTGCGAGCGCAAATCATCGATCCGAGAGACATCTGGCCTATGGCTGTTTCGAATCGCATGCTCTGGTTCCTGAAAATATGAATTCCGAGGGCTCGAATGTAGGTTGACAGTCCATTCGGACGAATTGGTCTTCTGCAATTCGGGATTCCATGGTAGGCCGTGTAAGACGGACGTTCTGCGATTACTTTCGTTCACGGTGGGACCTCTCATATAATCACCCTGGATGTCCTCATAGACTGACTTCTGGGGTAGTAGCTGCGGTCTTTGACTGGGGACTGATGATTGGGTATGGGGCTGAGAAGCTATATCCCAGTTATTCCTTGCATGGAAACTTTGCTTCAAATCATGTGTGTTGCTAGCGTCATTTGCGCCAATGGCAAAGTAGTTGGGACTCAAATGGCCTGACACAGTGTGATGGTGACTAGTGCCGGCACTGGCAAGTGGCTGGTTTTGAGTATCTTGATGCCACGGGGACGAAGGAGAATGCCTCGGACCTGTCATGGCGGACATAATTCTTTTCTCTCTTTTTTCCCCCCTTTTCTTCCTCCTCAAAAGAAGAGAATTAAGGAACAAGCTAGGATGTTAAACGAATGACCAAGCTTGCCATCTCGAGATCTCGTGAATGAAAAAAACACTGTAGACAGGAGGGAGGCAAAGGGAAATGAAAGAAAGGACAAAGATAGATTTATGCAAAGAAGAAAGACACCTCGTCGAAGATTATTGTTGACCAATGTGTGAGAACAATGCACGGGTACCCGTTATTCCTTATTATCTCAAGGTTTCAGTGGCAAGTAGAAGGAAGACCCGAAGTTGTTGTACTAATGAGAAGAAACAATCGATTCTTTTTTCCTTTCCTTCTTTTCTAAGACCGGCGAGGGAAGCTTTGGTGGCGTTTGCAATCCAGCATTTCTGACAAAGGAAGAGATGAAGTAATCTAGGACGATTATTCAAAAATTTTTTTTTTTTTTTTTTTTTTTTTTTTTTTTTTTAAGGTGAAGAGTAAAAGAGCAAGAGCCTGGTGGAGAGAAGAGAGATCCACAGAGAACCGGAATGGGAACAAATTGGAGACCGAAGAAGACAGGTGAGAATCGTTGGGTCTAGCCACCTGAGCACAACTTGGGGCTCACTTAAAGGGGGGAACTCCGCGAGGGATCGGATGCGAATTGTCTGTAAGGTTCCTGGGCCAATTGAAGTCAAAAAATAATCGACAATTGTGGAAAGGAGGGGTATGACTTGATATCATTGATCCACCGCCATCAGTCGGAACAAGTCAAAAAGGTTATGTACAGGGAAGGGAGACAGACGGAGGAGGAACAATAATCTAGAATAAAAGTAAGAATTGGGGGGAAGGGAAAAATAAGAGACCGATTGGAGAAAGATAGAAAAGAATAATAAAATAAAAGATTCAGAGGAGGCGAAAAAAGGAAAAATCTGGAGGCGAGGGAATTTGAAGGGGAACCGAACCTGGTAAGAGGCCTATGACGTTATGTCTGCCAGCGGCAAAAAGAAAAGAGGTGTGCAGAAAACATGGGATTTCCCCCGATCATAATTTATTCAGTTGCAGCGGGCCGTTCTGGAATCGTCATTTCCCCCCAATGATAACGCGGAATGATTGAGTGTAATTTTAATACTCCATAGTTATGTACTGTGTATTATTATATTATGATACTATAGGTGAGAATTGGTCATGGTTTCATGCGATCTTCGGGAATTGAGGCTCTTACGCTGCTCTAGGATACACGACTACGGAGTACTACTGTATGTATGTGGTTATGGAAAATGATGTGTCAGCAAATTCCAGTTATCCTATCTTCATCAATTATTGAAAGGCCATTAGTACTCTATACGGAGTACTACAAAGAGAGCTCTTCCGGGAACACAGCAGGATCCGTATTGCTATCGTAAAGAATGCTATGGTTTTGGTACGACATCACCTCACGTAACATGACTCCTGATGTCATATTCTGGCTCTCGTTCTTGCTCTCATTCTACAGCTAACAGACCCAGTTAGATGGTTGATTCAAGCGTCGGAAGGAATCAGGTCGTTACGCAGTGACCTCACACACCATAGCGCATTCAGCATTCATGACTGGAACTGTGGTGTGGTCCAGATGTGCACGGGACAGCATGGCATTTGGCATGTTCGATGAAGCAATTGGATGTCGGAGAGATTAAACTCGTTTGCACACGGACAACATCTAGCCCGCAGTGTCTTGTATCTGACGCCAACGGAGATAGAACAAACCCCTCCCAGGTCCTGACTGAAGACTGAAGACTGCATATTTAATCCCATGGGAACCGAATAGGAGATGATGCCTTGATTAACAGCCCCTAACACCCAGGTCTGGACACCCGGGCGCTATGTGTGAATGCGAAGTGAACAAGGCAGTCGAAGCCATCTTGTTCGCCCGAAAAGGGTTGGGTTGTTCACAGTCTTCCGTCTGGCTCGCCTTGGAATCTCTGGACTCGCTTTTGTTCCCAGTTATCCAAATCCTTGGCCATCAGCCTCTTCAGAGAGTTGTTAGTGTATATAGTAATCAATTGAGAATATTATGATGACATACGTAATATTCTTCCCTTTCATCGCCGATAACTCTTCTTCGCGGGTTCCTCTTGATTCCCTCTTCCCCATCCGGCCCTCGGAGTCCAAGGTCCATTGCTTCCTCTTTACTCAATTGCTGCACTTTGCGATCATAGCGCTCATATCTAAGGGCGGCAGCTGGGGTCAAAGCAAATGATGCAGCGACGATGACTGTAATGAAGGGAAGACCAAAGAGCATAAACGGATGCCTGCTTAATCTGGATCGGTACGCCGCACCAATTCGTTCTCCGAGAGGCGACGACGCTGTCGGTGTGCGACGAAAAGTTTTGGCTTGAAAGGCAGGCATGGCTTTGTTAGTTATCAACGTCCTGAGCAGGCGTATTAAGCACAAACAATAATATTTTAAATGAAGACTTGATGGAGAAATTATGCTTGTCAAACACGGAACAAAAATTGTTCCCATCAGCGCCTGAGGCAGGAAATCACTGCAAATTGCCGGCGGAACAAATAATCATCCGGCATATAGCTAGATGAATTTGGAAGTGTAGTTAGCTTTTCCATAAACACGAAATCAACGGGGTGACGAACGAGCAAGGTGAGCCTTCATAACCGGCTGCTTGGGTGACCTTTCTTTGTGCTTCGGATTTGTGAGTTTTTACCATTCATTAAGCTTCACCCGTCCCATCTAAGCCCAAGTATTTATTTTGTTGACTTGTCTTTCAAAGAAACCCCAGCAGCATACCCAACTGTTCCGAAGACTCTTTCCTTTTACTCTCGCTACCTTACTGCGACTGTGGTTCCTGGCAAGACCTGCTCAATGGCTTCCTCGAATTTCGGTTTGTTTGGAGGTGGTGGGTTAGGAGCCACACAGCAGCAACAGCAGCAGCAGCAGCCAGCGAGTATATTCTCTCCGAATAATCAGTCCAGCATCTTCGGAAATACCGCTACAACTCAACCTGCTCCAGCCAACTCCGTCTTCGGCTCCCAGCCGCAAGCCCAGCAACAGCCTAGTCAGGGTTCAATCTTTGGGCAGAGCCAAGCGCAGCCAGTGCGGTCTTCTGGCCAAACAACCCAACCTGCATACTTCAACAGCTTGCTGGAACGTGGTAAAAAGAGACCATTGTCTGCCGTTGGTCAGAACAGCAGTTTTGAGGAGTTGCCCAGCCTTCAATTGGGACTCGATGACATCCGAAGAAAGGCAAGAGAGCTCGGTTCAGGAGGACCCAAGGATTCTCAGCATGGTCTGAACTCCAAAGCGTAAGTAAATTGTTTTCAAGACTGGCTCCCTCATTTACTTCAGAAAACGCGACTGACATCTGCTTGGGTCTGTACAGTCACTATTTACTGGCGGCGTCAGGGGTGTCGCCAGGGCACGCAATTCGAGATCTCAAGGCGTTGGATCCCCAGGCGTCGATATCAGTCCCTTCCAAAGAACAGGATGCCTTCGATCCGGATAATCAAAAGTTCTTGAGGAACATGCAACAGCGTGGCCGGCAGGTGATGATCGCTGAAAGTCTCGCTCGAGCGCACAGAGACTTCGACGCATTCTTGGAAGAAAAAGTAGATTTGGACTGGGAAGAACAACGCCGGAAGATATTCCAGCATTTTGGGCTCGCGCAGGGCAGCGACAGCATGGGAGCAACCGCGAAGGGCTCGGGTGGTCGCTCAATGAGGCAGTTCAAGCAGCCTGGTTCTATTGGCCAGTCGCCAGGCTCGCGCAGGAGTGTCTTTGGTCGGTCAGGTCTAGAGAAGTCCGTCATCGGTACTCCAGGAGCTGGATTTGCCCGACCACAGATTTTTGAAGATCCCGCCGAACGCAGCGAAGGGCCAGCCGTCCATGCCCCAGATCTACGGTTCTTGCGAGAAAAGATGGGTTACTACGCAGACCGGGTCCAGCTGTTGAACTCTGCCCGACTTCAGGGGCACACTTTCCCCGTACTTCACGAGTTCTCCGGCGTTGAGCAACATGCTGGCGGTGATGTAAGTCATAATCTTATCGTAGCGTTTATCCTCGCATTAACTGATCATCAATAGGTTCCTCGGCAACTATTTGATGCTTACCAAGCGCTGATATGCATCGTTAACGAGAGTTCGAAGGTCATGAGCGCGTCCGATCCCGGTAGCATCCAGGAGCGACGATTCTCTGAAGATTACCTTGACGAAATACCGAATTCCCGCAAAGCAATCAACCTGCGCAAGCGAATAGTTGAGGGCTCGAGATCCTTTCTTGAGAAATCGTTTTATGATGAGGTCGAGAATGTGATCGCCAAGAACCCCCGAGAGGCACAGCTTGGTGGTATACCGAGTGTGATTAACAAAATTCGCGCCTATATCCGACTTCGAGCTGCCCGAAAAGATCTAGCACCAGATGGAACAGAGTTGCAGATGGTGGGTCAAGATTATTGCTGGATCCTAATATTCTACCTCCTTCGGTGTGGATTTGTCACTGAAGCAGCGGAATATGTGAGCCAAGATCCTGGCTTCCGGTCGTTGGATCACAAATTTGTGACATACATGACTACCTACGCACAAAATCGACGGCTGCCGAGAGATTTGCAGCAGAAGATCAATGGCGAGTACCAACAGCGTTCGCGCAATGCACCAGAAAACACGGTTGATCCTTATCGAATGGCATGTTACAAGATCATTGGGCGCTGCGAACTTAGCCGAAGGCGCTTAGAAGGGATCAACCAAAGTGTCGAAGATTGGATATGGCTGCAATTTACCTTGGCTAGAGAGGACGACCGCGCCGAGGAAGTTGCGGGCGATGTCTTCGGCCTGGAGGATATCCAGACCGACATCACAGAAATTGGACAACGAGTATTTGGAAAAGGACAAGAAGGACCAGGTGGCTACGGTACTTTCTTCCTCCTACAGATCCTAGGTGGAATGTTTGAACAGGCTGTCTCGTACCTTGGGTCTTATGTCCCGGTCAGTGCCGTGCATTTCGCAGTTGCGCTCGCCTACTATGGCCTTCTGCGTGTTTCTGACTTCTATACATCCGGCGAAGAAATTTGTGAGCAAAACCCCAATTCCAACATCCTCTTTTTTTTGAAGATTGGTCGTGGTGCTAACTAGAAAAAAAAAAAAAAAAAACAGTGTCGTTTACGGTTAAACAACACCCGCAAATCAACTTTGGATATCTCGTTACGCAGTACACTCGAGAGTTCCGTACCGGTTTCGTTGAAGCGGCTGTTGACTACTTCTCGCTACTTTGCCTCAACGCTGATCTTCCCGGCTCGCTTGGCAAATCACAGGCCTCGGTGTGTCACGAAGCCTTGCGAGAGTTTATCTTGGAAACCAGAGATTTTGCCAAATTGCTCGGGGATATACGTTCTGACGGAACCAGGATCAAGGGTGTCATTGAGCAGCGCCTGGGCTTGATCAAGCTGGTTGATCAAGATGAATTCCTGAAGACCATAACAGTGCAGGCTGCCGCTGTTGCCGATGACAAGGGCTTAATTACAGATGCTGTCCTCCTGTACCATCTCGCTGAGGACTACGACCGCGTCATTGACATAATTAACCGGGCGCTGTCTGACGCAGTGGCCGTTGACTTGGGAGGTTCAGGCCTGAAGCTGCAGCCTCTGCTCCCAAGGACGCACCGGTTGGAAGATGGCCAGGAAGTGGCAGAGCCGGGAAGTAGCCTCAGCTTGACAGCAGTGGAAGATCCGGTTGTTTTGGCGAAGAACATGATCGGTCTCTATAACACCAATGCTCTGTACTACCAACGCATCCGTCAAGTCAACCGTGACACTTGTGGCTTATTGCTTCGGATGATGGAAGCAAAGGCAGAAGTCGAGGCAGGCAAATGGACACCAGCTCTTGATGTGAGTTCTCAACTTGCGTTTCTCTTTGCTTCGGCTTCCTTTTTCTCCGGTGCAGTGCTGACAGATTTTTGCGTGGTAGGCTATTAATGGATTGAACATTCTTCCACTACGGGCCAGAGGCTCTGTTTCTTATATTCGAAGCGCAGCCCAGGCATTTTCGTCATTCCCTCCGATAATTTCACGCAATGTTGGACATGTCATCATGTGGAGTATCGCCTGCATTGGCCATGAAAGGGAACGTTTGAACTCCGGGGCATACGAGAACGAGATCAGACAAGGAATGGCTGACGAGCTGCTGGTCATGGCGAAAGATCTGATGATCTTTTCAGGCATGGTCAAGTATAAATTGCCGCCGAGAGTATATGAGACTCTTGCTCGTGCTGGGGCGGGAATCGGTGCATATTAGACGGTGTTTGCCTTCGTTATGTTGAAGACAGCAGGGCAATTGGGGTTCATAGATCTAATTCCATAGTTTTGATATCAAATGATGATTATCGCTTTCTTTCGACTTGCAAGTGGGCAGGTGCGGGCCTGTCCCGCTGGCAGCCTCAGGCGCCAAAATCTCATCTACCATCACCTCCTACAGCGTGAATCCCACTCGACAACTTGTGCGCCCGTGGGGGAACAGTCGCCAGTAACCGCTTTTTGCCTGTGAATTATCAACTGAAGAGGAGACTGCTGCATGTATTTATAGAGAATCGTCCTGCCGAGCCGGAAGAATTTGTTCAACAAGCGAAGGCTATGCGTGCGCATTGCTTGCTGTATGCATGTTTAACTGAATCCGAAACCAACCCCAACATAACGCTACGTTCGACGACATGGACCATGACCTTTCAGATGCATCCAACTCGAGCCTGAAATCGATGTCGTCGGATGTCGACCTGGAATCCCCGCACAATGAAGCTTTGGCGCAAACAAAAGACGGGCTAGCAGTTCACTCGGACGGAGGAGACATGGAGGCGGCCTACGACGAACCCATGACACCGCAGGACTCGGCACATCAGGATCAGCCACCTTCTCAAGAGACAGGTCATCCATCCGCCGGGAATGAACAGCCTCCCCAAAATGACATCGGGGAGGATGGCAACGACACTGGTCATATCATCCGCGCATCGTCGAATGGGGACGCGATAGCCAACTATAGCCTTTTCGACAACCCGCCAAATCTTGCGAGAATCCGACGAGTGATGTTCGAGTGTAAGGACCCAATCGAAATCAGCCTCGATGAGTTTGAGACATATTGGCCTTTTATCGACAACGTCTGGGTGAAACAGAGATCCAATTCTAGCAAAGAGGGCCATTGCACAACGGACTATTACATGTGTCGTCTACGGCGTCCAACCCATCGCTCGTCCGAAACACGTCCCTTGCCCGAGGGGAAACGTCCTCGAAAGAAACGAGTGCGAGAAGGCGGCATCTGCAACTTTCAGATCAAAGTCGTTAAGTTTGAAGGTGCATATTCGACGGTAACGATTGCGCGGACTCCTGGGAGCAGTACCGTACACTCGCATGATCTCGATTATATCGACAAAGTCAAGCGGAACTCGGGCCTTATGGAATTTGCCCGGAAGGAAGCAGTAAAAGGATATTTGCCCTCCTCGATCTACACAAAATTCCAGGAGGAACATGAGAAACTTTACGAAGCAGGCGGCAAGTTCTGTACAGTCACGGATGTCCGAAATGTCTCGGCAAAGTGGCGGATGCAGAATCCTGAAGTGAGACTCGTGCCGCATGATGGCTACGAATATCAAAAGGGACATGGGATAGTGAGAATCCATGGATCCAACGATGATAAGGGAAACCCATCTGATTCGAATCCTCCACAAGAAAGTCCGAATCATCCTTTAGCGCCGGATACCTTGCAATTCCCCCAATTCACCTTGGACTTTCTAGAGCCCTACATGCCCGACCATGATGAAAAACGCCAACTTCCCCACGTCACTCTATCGTATGCATCTTCTATGGATTCCAAGATCTCACTTGAACCAGGAATGCAAACTGTTCTGTCAGGGCCAGAAGCGAAACTGATGACGCACTACTTAAGATCCCGTCACGATGCAATTCTGATCGGAGTCGGAACTGTTCTTGCTGACAACCCAGGACTGAATTGTAGGCTTGAGGGAGCCGGTGGGTTCGGTGGTCTTGGAAGGATGTGGCAACCGCGGCCAGTTATCATTGATCCCACGGGACGATGGCCTGTTCAACCCGAATGCAGGATGTTAAGAACTGCAGTGGAGGGCAAGGGCAAAGCTCCGTGGGTCGTTGTGTCTCCAGGGGCACAGATCCACCCTCAGAAATTGATGATGCTGAAAGGCCATGGGGGTGACTTCCTTCGCATCGTGGAGTACAATCAGAATTGGCGACTCCGCTGGGAAGTTATTCTCCGTGCCCTTGCGTCTGAAGGGATCAAAAGCGTCATGATTGAAGGTGGTGGGACAGTTCTAAGCGAATTACTGAATCCTGAATACACCGACTTTATCGATTCTATTGTCGTGACTGTTGCTCCTACCTACCTTGGCCGCGGTGGGGTGGGTGTTAGCCCCGATTCGAAACGAGATGAGCAGGGCAAACCGAATGCCGCCCTGAACCCTCGAGACGTAACATGGAAGCCTTTGGGGCAAAATGTGATCATGTGCGGCAAGATTCGACCTACTTCACCTCCTCCTGAAGTGACAAACAGTACAGTGAGTGTTGCAATGGATCAGCAAGATGGATAGGATTGGAGGCAAGAGAGGTGTATATATGCATATCTTCGCTGGAGAGAGAAAGAGATAATTGATGACCCTCATGATTATGATGCCTGTGTCTATTCAAAGAAGAATAATAGTGACTGAATCCCTGCCCATGATGGAGTAATTACACCACTCTTTTCCAGTCACTCCAACTATTAATGCATGACTTGGTCTAATATTTCTATTCCTACTCTGTCATTCTCCGGAATGTGGGATTCTGACAAAGCATCCTAGTTTGAGGTTAGCGCGTTTTTCCTTTGTCGGCGAGGAACAAAACACAACAACAAAAAAACAACTGTCGCATCGCGTCAAAGGAAATTCTTTTTCTTTTCCTTTCACTCATACACTGAACTAGCCAGGATTCCCCTTTCTTTCCTCCTTCCTTTCTTTATCTCTTTGATTTTCATCATTCAATTGGGCTTCTCTTTCCCGGATCTACCGGATCTCTTGCTTATAAACAACGCTTGACACCCCGAGTATCTTGCGCAGAGACCCGTCGGCACATTCGCGCGCAGAAAAACGCTTTTCGCATCCTAATTCACAACCATGCCTCCCAAAAGGGCAGCAAGCGCACAGTCCAAGGCTGCTGCTGCAAAGCCGAAAACCACCAGGGCTGCCGCCGCCACCACCACCACGAAGAAGACTACTGCTGCTGCAACTAAAGAATGCACAACGAAAACCGCCACGACTGCTAAGAAGTCGAGCACCGCTACTTCCAAGGCCAAAGCTAGCGAGCCTGCGAAATCGCGCAAAACGAAGACTACCGCTGAGGCTGCTACGACTGCGCCGGCTTCCAAGAAGCGCAAGGCCGCATCCATTGATCGCGAAGAGCCCGTTCCGCAACCCAAGAAGACTCGCGTCACCAAACGTGGTGCTACTCCCAAACCAAAGCCACCGAAAGTTGTCATCAACACTGTGCCCTCAACGTGCTTGAACGTTTACGTCTTCGGAGAAGGTAGCTCCGGTGAGCTTGGGTTGGGCCCTGCAAAGAATGCCGTCGATGTGAAGCGGCCGCGCCTCAATCCTCTTCTGCCTGCGGATAGGGTTGGTATCGTCCAAGTTGCGGTTGGTGGTATGCATTGTGTTGCTCTCACGCATGACAATAAAATCTTGACTTGGGGCGTCAATGATCAAGGCGCGCTCGGAAGGAACACTACTTGGGAGGGTGGCTACAAAGACATTGATGATGCCAACAAGAGTGGTTCAGATGATGATTCAGATGATGATTCAGACGATGACTCTGGTCTGAATCCTCACGAGTCTACTCCCACCGCTATTCCAGCGGAGTCATTTCCCGAGGGCACAGTGTTCGTCGAAGTGGTTGCTGGTGACAGTTCTAGCTTTGCCTTGACCGACGATGGCCTCGTATATGGCTGGGGAACTTTCAGAGTAAGTGGTCTTTTTATCCCCTTTCTGCGCACTTGATACATTATATCACGTCACGCTAACGCCAAACTTTTCCAGAGCAACGATGGTATTTTGGGTTTTGATGCTGAGCATAAAGTTCAATCGACACCATCCCCTATTCCGTCGCTGAAGAAAATCAAGCATTTGGTGTGTGGAGACAACCATGTTCTTGCATTAAATGAAAAGGGTGCTGTCTTCTCATGGGGCTCTGGCCAGCAAAATCAGTTGGGACGACGTATCATTGAGCGCAACAGATTGCATGGTCTACAGCCTCGGGAATTCGGTCTTCCAAAGAACATTGTGCACATCAGCTCCGGTGCTTTCCACTCCTTTGCCATCCATGAATCCGGAAAGGTGTACGCCTGGGGACTAAATAGTTTTGGCGAAACCGGAATTCGGGAAGGCGCTGGTGATGCAGAAGCAGCTATTGTGCATCCTACCCTTGTGAAATCTCTAACAGAGAAGAGCATTACTCAGATTTCTGGTGGTGCTCACCACTCCATGGCTGTGAACAAGGAGGGACACTGCCTTGTGTGGGGCCGACTTGACGGTTATCAGACTGGTATGAAAATTGACAATCTCTCGGATGAAGTGGTGATCAAGGATGAGCGCGATCGCCCTCGAATCTTGATTGAACCCACAGCTGTTCCGAGTATCAATGCCAGTGTCGTCGCAGCCGGATCGGATCACTCGCTTGCTATTGATGTGGACGGCCGTGCGTGGTCGTGGGGCTTTTCTGCGACTTACCAGACCGGACAGGGTACGCAGGATGATATCGAAATCGCGACAGTGATCGAGAACACCGCTATTCGCGGCAAGAAGCTGAACTGGGCTGGTGCTGGTGGTCAATTCTCCGTCTTGACCGAACCCGCCAATCAATGATTGTGTGTACTTTCCATAACTTTCTTGGTGAACAATTTCAACCGGCCTTTTAACTTGCAAGCCGTGTTGGAACGCTGTCTTAATTCGGTGTTCTATATACTGATTTGGTGGTTTTGTACTGATATTATTATTATTTCCTTGTGTTAGTGGCCGGGCGAACATTGTATGTAATAAGTGGTGCTTTCCGGTTGCTGAATAGATTGATTCCTTTAAATTCCTCAGCAGCGTTCGCATTGACACGTACCCGGCTCGACACCTTTGGATGAGATGCAAGGCGGTAAGATATCTATGGATTATTCTGATCAAATGTAAGACATTTGAGAGACAATTCATACGGTCCATCAAGAATTTTGATTAAAACACGTATTTATGCTGTCGTGACACATCATCAAATTGACTTTGATCAGGTAGATGTAGGACCTGGAGCTTCTAGCTCGCGCAGGACTTCAAGATCATCTTCGTATGTATCCTCATGAGGGGGTTCGGATATTGTTGAACCCTTGTTCGGTGCAGGATTTTCATCATCCTGTTCCCTTAAGAGAATATCTAGATCGTCATCTTCAGGCTCTGGTTCGTTGAAGTTCTGCTGGCCACCCTCGTCGTCTGACATGAACAGCCCTTCATCTGACCTGCTTTTCTCCTGGGGCACGGTAGCACTGGTATTATCGTCATCAAGACCCTCGAGGTTTGCGCGTGGTTCGTCAATATGCGCGTTAGTAAGTGGCTGTCCGTTTCCCTGGCTTCTTTCCGGTAGACTATCTTCGAACGTGTCCATTGATGATTTCGGCTTTTCTTCATCTATCCATTCCCGGCGCATTGTTTGTAAGCGCCTGGAATGACCGAGTTTTTCGATAATGGAAAGACCATCAGCAAACTTGGCACGGGGAAACAGGTCATCCAGCCATAATTGATAGAAATTCAATAGGCGCGCCGCATCAGAAAACTATGTAAGTATTTCATTAGTGCTTGTCCTTCTTACGCGGTCAAGCATTAACGTAGCGTACCTCGTGACCCTTTCCCTTGAATCGTAACTTTGTTTTGGCTGTACGGCGCAGCTTTGGGATTCCATTTTGAGAAAGCAATCTGGGAAAGGTATCAGCACAAAGCCGCGTCGGTATAGGAATGCGATTAAATCCAATCCTCACCGGCTCTCATCCAGTTTCACAACAGGTTGGCGCTTCTTGGACACTTTGACTTCTTCATCAAGACCCAATCCTAATCCTGAGCCTTCAGGCCCTGATGGTTGCTTCGCAGCATTGGTATTGGATGTTGTCGAGACATCCCGTAGAATGTCATCTAAGCCGACATCATAATCAAAAAGGTCATTGATCTGAGACTCCTTAGGGTCTTCGTTCTCCATGTTTGCGAGCTTTCGAAGTTAATCGTAAGTTAATAAGTAAAAGGTACCCAATGTCTATAATACGGAGTTGATCAGACACGCGCGGATAGATAACTAACTAGTTAACTAATGGCTACGCGATGTGGTGCCTTAGGCATAAATTACGCCAGTGATACCAACGCACTCAGAGTGCTCTACCCCTGTATATACAATTTAAATAGAAATCCCCAGTACAATATCACACGTTGAGTATTCAATTGTCTACTAGTAGCCTTACGATCAGTATGTTGCTGGTAATTGATATAAATGTGCCCGATAGCGAGATAGATATTACCTACCGCGGACATTGATTGGCCGATAATCTTCACGCACGCTAATCCTTTTTTGGTAGACAGCGCTCTTGGCACTCCTCCGAACTCAACTCCGTCGCAGCGGAATCGATGTTAGTATTCCCCTCAAAACGGTCCCAGCATCGTCATCATGGCATCCGATAACAAGACAATTGTCCCCCCCAAGCGGGCAAATACTGACTACCCGGTACGTTTGTTTGACGGTTCTGTTCATCCAGCAGTGGTGAGGCCATCCTGCTAATAATCATATCTTTTGTCTTGCAGCTCATCGACTCCGATCCGTACGGTTGACCCCTCACAGTACCGTTGTCTAGGGTTATTAACATCAATTTAGACACGTGAAACGAGTTTTCAGATATGCTAGACCCTCTGATTACGCCATTGCTGGTGGCATGGCTGCTGCCTCCCCAATCTCGTTCTGGATGATGGAACGGGTGAGCCCGTCCCATGTGGGCAAAGGAGGCTTCGCCCCGGTTATGCGTCTAGCGACAGCTCTCGGCCTTGTCGGAGGTCTCCATATCCTTTATCAGCGATCTTGCAGTATGCCAATTCCGGGATTTACTCTCATGACGCCTCGCCTTTTCTTATCTTGCTAATAACGTCGCAGACCGCTTTTATGGGTTTACGGAGAATTCGAGAGAGGCCGAAATAGATAACAGGGAGATGGTTGACAAAGTCAAGAGGGGCGAGCCTTTGTACGGTGCCTCGAAACTTTCCTCCTACCTACAAGGGGTGGCGGCGAGGAACTCGCGATATTCTGAGATGTTTATCCATGTTATCCCATGGGTCAACGCCGTCAATCACGACCAGGTTAGTCGTCTTGAATCTTGCTTGTGGTTCGTCCCATGGTATATGGGAATATAGGGCTAACTAGTGAAACCAGCACGGCATTGACACCGCCAAGTATTATCAACAAGCTGAGAGGGAACTTGAAGCTGAGAAGGCCGGCTCTAACTAAAACTGTAGTGTTACAGGGCATGAAAACGCTGGAAGATTTGACTGCCAATCCCGCCTGTTGTGGGCTCCTGTATACTTATTCCTCTTGGCGCTACTGTGGCTCATAATGCAAGATCTTTTTTTTTTTTTAACACACGCGCTTACTTTGAGAACACAACGTTAGTAATAACAGCGTTATTCGCTTTCTATGATAATGGGGTTGTCACGGTCGAGATAAGGTTAGCTATCTGACTATCACATATAATCGAAGCTCTCAGCGTCGCCTTCAAAACTTGTGTTCAGTTCACGATTCTTTTTTGGGCGAGGTTTCGGTGCTAATAGGCATGAGCAACTACTTAACGAAATAGCCCTCATCGTGCATATATATATTTGCGTACCCTTTTCGTTTTCTTGTATATAGAAGCGTCGAAGTAGCATTATTGCTTCTTTGCGAAACAATCCACCATACACTGGATACGGCGAATCAATGGCATAGCTGTTGCGGGTCAGCACTCGAACATTGACAGGACTGTGTCTTGATTACTCGGAATGCAATGAAAGCACGCTTCCTGTTCCTCCAAACCGTTCATTACCACAGCCAAAATATACAGCCCGTATTTGGTATTGCCTTAATGCAGATGCACACATAACACAGGGTTCAACGGTCACATAGAGATCTGTCGAATGCAGGTGTGATCTGGGATGGCTTTGTAGCATCTCTTGGATGGCAATGAACTCAGCATGTCTTGTGCCCTGTTCAATGTTAGCTCGTGGATTCAATGTGATATATTTCTAACCATGTATGATACAAAATAAGTGGGATGGGAACTCAATAACAATGCAGCCATTATATGAGCATATCCATAATGCATCCTGGGGGACTCACATTCATTGACTTATTTGTGTCATTCATCCCAGATCCGACTATTTGGCCGTCATACACCAGGACACACCCCACAGGCGTTTCATTTGCCTGGAGTGCCTTTTCTCCCTAATGAATGGTAAGCTTGCTCAATTCGAATAGGGCACAACGAGGGAGTTCGATAATCCTTACCATGAGTAATGCTTGCTTCATAAAATGCGCATGCTTAGAGCCCTCCTCAGATACGTCTAAAAGGTTATGCATTGCGTCCATATCCAAGATCTCATCAGATCTCCTATCTTGTAAGGTATTAAGTTAGTCTGGAGATTTTATTCTGATATTGCTCTGCGGCTACGGAGATTGAGGGAGTAGTGATAGGGTATGTACGGGGTTCCCATTAAAATTTAATATTACAAGTGTTGTATTAATGTAGACTCCAGGCTTCATGAAGTCATGATAAATTTTAATTATTCTGTAATTTTCAATACGTTTCCTTCTAATAATGGTTAGCTTTGTGTATTTGTATTACATTACGTCTTGACTTCGTTTTCAGGTCTAGCGGTATGGCAACATCTACGGAGTACTCCAGTATTTGATACTGCGTTCCCCGTGCTTCATACCCTCGGTTTTCAAGGACTCAGAAACGCTAGTGAACATGCACCCAAACTCACAGTGAGTTCTTCTTCAGGCCTGAAGGACTTAGATCCGAAGTATCGCATATGGGACTCGGCGATGAGCTGAGAGGGTTTCAATACCCAGCAGCGCAAGAGAATGGCGGTTGGAAGTCCACGGAGCCGGCTTCATCAATGCTGGCCGCGCAACTTGCTCCGCGTCTGTCATCCGAAGGCGAACAGACTCACCATTTGACCCGAGAGACATTTGCACAGCTTCGTCAAGAGCTTGCAGGCGGAATATATAGCCAGCTACGTCTTGACGATAGTGTCACAGATGTCAACAAGTTAATTTGCATCGTCTTAAAAGCTGGTCTGGAGCCTAGCCTCCCTGTGGATGAAGGCTCATGCGATGATAGTCTGGAGAGACAGACCATAGACTGTCTTGAAATTATACAGATGGCGGTTGAAAAAGCCCCCCAAGTCTTGATCGAAATATCAGACCCAGGACTTTTGGGTGTTGACATCCATGCACCACTCTTCACTTGGCTAGTTCTACGGTTGATTGATCTGCTGGGAAGCTGGAATAATGAGGCTATTGAAGCAAAGATCGTTTCTACGTTCTCAAGCATATCTTATCCGCAGCTCAGGCCATGGCTTTCCTGTCAACCTGTTTTTGCATTCCTGCGAGCTTGCACAATGGGTCTGTTTCGGCTTTGGGTTGCATTCATAAGGGTGTTCAACTAATCATTTTCACAGACATATTGTTATCTCTAGAGGATCTGATCCTCCCCATACCGCGAGGTCTTGGTAGAAACAAACCCTCCATACCGACCCCAGGAGGGGTCCTTCTTGTAGAACTAGACAGACTCGGTCTTCCCCGTGCACTCCTTGAGCGAAGAGTCTCTTTGGGGACTAACTCGCAAGCGATAATCTTAGCTCTTCGACTGTTAAACTCTTTTCGCCCAAGTTTCACCTGCAATCCTTGCATGAAGCGCGAAAACCTTCTGGCTCGTCAGAACCTGGCTTGGATCTTGAACGGGTATCGGCGCCTATGGAAAGTCACCCTTAGCTTACATCAGAACACCGGGTCCGCTGCTTTGGACAGTACATCATGGATCGCTCTGCAATTTCTGATATCACTGGAACCTAAAAGCGAGCAGGAATCCTCTCGCTCAAGTCCTTTGCAATCAGATATAGAATTCTCGCAGACGTGGCTCCAATGTCTGAGTGAGGCATTCAGCTTGGATGGTTTTGGCCAAATGCCTGCTCTTCAGCTGGGCTTGAGTTCGTTTCTTTGTCGCCTCAGTGAAGCCACTAAAGGGCCGAACATGCTTGTTGAGTGCATGAGTTACACACTTCTACCCGTGCTAGTCGATATCAGAAAGAACTCCATGTTCCTGACATTTGATTCGGACCTTCAGGTACCTAGCGCAAATAATGTTCGCCTGAAGGATGACGGGGCTAATTAATTCTTTCCAGGGAGCAGTACAAGGCCTGCTCAAAAGGCCCACGCCAGTTAATTTGAATGAAACCGAGACGCATATTGCAGGGGCCTCTGGTCTCAAGAAAAACGCGCTAAGAGCGGTTGCAGATCAGTACAAGTCACACGATGAAGATTCTCCCCCTTCAAAGCGCCTATGCCTACCACGTGCTCATGTCGGACTTGAAATCAAAAACACTTTCCAGCAACTCGTGGCAAAATTATCTGCATTGCTTCACTGTGGGCCCTGCGAGAGCCTCCAAGACTTGAGGCAAGCCGTTTCGTAAGTTATATAACATGGCCAATTGTATATAATGGAGTGCTAACAGATACAAAAGAAAGTCATTTGTAGGGCTTACCGAGCAAGAAAAATGTGAGGTCTTGAATTTACTGGGGAGTACGGCGTGTTCTATGGCTGGAAATCCCTTTACAAGACCCGTTGGTGCCATAACCAAAGACATACCACTGTGTCAGGCCTGCGACAGCGAAGATTTTAAGGATGATTCCGTGCCACAATGGCGATGTTCCGATTTCGACGAGTTGTGGCATATATTTGCCTATATCTTACCCAATCTCACGCGTGCTCCAGGTCTCAGAATAACAGCGATGATTGCTTTGAGAAGAGCCTTGGTACATGCTCCAAACTCTAGTCAGATGCAGCTCGTCTCCTCGGTGTTTGGTGAATTCTGCCTGCATTCGCTCCGAAGTTCGATGAGAGAGCTGCGAGTTATCACTGGGTATATTTTTTCTCTCCCTCCCTTCTTCTTTTGCTTTTCTTTAGAACTACTCAAGGAGATTAACTAGTCCACAGGTACTCGGTGACAGCATTCATCAGGAAGAATTTGGATCCAGAGATTCGTCGCAGTAACTTCGTCGTGATTTTAGAATGGCTTAGGAATCTATCCGAGAAGCATGAGACATCGTTTCATGAAACCTGTATACTGACTCTGTGTCGACTTGCAAGGTATGTGATGATATTGGGTATTGGATACTAGGGTGAATCTAATGCGCCTAGCAGGCTCTCGGACGATGAAGAGATGAATATAATCCTCCTTCATCTAGTGGAGTATCTCGGCCATTCGAATCCATTTGCTTGCGCAGTGGCATATGCAGAAGTACGTACTTGTTGGCTTTTACCCTATCGTTACGTTCTTGTTTCTACTACTTGTCCAATAATGCGTATTCCCGCTCTTGGTTAACAGCAGATATTAGCTCTCCAAACTTGCGCAGCATCTTTCTTTGACACCTGCTGGCTTGTTTCGACCCTTCTGGAGGACCATTTCTGTGACCGTTGTGAAAAACTTCCAGTCTCGCCCATATATGGCAGAGCAACTCTGTGACTTGCTTGGAATGACAGTAGATGATTTCCTTCGATTGACCGAACTCTACATCTTGCCCTATTTAGTGCTCACACGGAAACGGGACCTTATCGCCAAAGTTGGGGCAACATACAAAGAGATCAAGTCACCCTTCGACATCTGTTCTGAGAAGAATAATCTTGCCGCGATTCTTGCTTTCCTCTTGAGTCAACCCTCGCCCAATCCGGAGGCAATGGCAATGTCGGTTTTAGCGGATGTGGACACAGCCTTCAGAGGCCGTACACTAGCAGAGCTAGTTAGAACCGAACCGATTCTTATTGCCTGTGACCTGTTAAAAGGCCTTGCGGACTCGAGAGAGACTAAAGGAAACGACTTGAAATCAAGGGTGAGTTATCCAGAAATCAGACCTAGCTTTCGGTACTGAGATGAAAAAAGTTCCATCGAGCGCTCGATCTCCTGGCGGCTCTTGTTCCACGTAAATCATCCCACGGAAGTGCATCGAAGAAGATGGATTTGCTAGGCCATTTCGTGGAAGAACATGTTCTAGGTATAATAACACAATTTGCGCACGCCGTCAATGACTTCCAAGTCAGACAACCGCTGCCTGAAAAGAAGAGATACATATTGGCGATCGGGGAAATGATAAAGATTGCTCGAGGTCATGTTAGCAGTGCATTACCCCAGGTTAGTTTATGTTATATGTACCGCCTTTTGCTTCGTGGACGCTAATGAATTCAGATTTGTGCTTGTCTGAAATCGGCCCTTGATATTCCGGGACTCTGCGATCATGCTTTTGGGGCTTGGGGAGTACTCATTAAATCGCTGGAGCGGGATGAAGTTGAGCCCCTGATTGACCAAACCCTATCCATTGTGATTAAATACTGGGTAAGATTCACTGAAGCGAGTAAAAGGCTTTCTTACGAGGTTATCGAGCACATCGTGAGAGACCATGACGACTTAGTACAGGGATCGTTCAGCACAATGCCTTCCCTGGCCTCAATACCAGCGATGGCTGAATTTGAAATTTGGCTAAACGGGCTCAAAGTGCAAATGGATGTACGGAGTCAGTTCTTTGCATTCATCCGCCGATGTCAAAGCGAAAGCGCCACCGTTGTCGAACAGGCTTTGACGGAGCTGGTACCCTATTTATCAAAGCATGAGAGCTTCCTCCATAGTTCTGTCCTCAGTGAGCAGCCAGATCCCGTCGTTGCACAATTAACGCGATCCCTTTTGGACTGCTGTGTGAAGTTCAAAACCAGCTCAGACTCTATTACGGTCCTTTCAGCACGATGCCTGGGCCTCATAGGCTGTCTAGACCCGAACCGAGTGGACTCGGTCAAAGAAAAGAAGGACATTCTCGTCTTATCAAATTTTGACAGCATGGAGGAGACGTTTGATTTCATACTCTTTTTTTTACAACACATCCTAGTTGAAGCATTCCTATCAGCATCCAACACTCGAGCCCAGGGATTTCTCGCGTATGCGATGCAAAACTTGCTCAGATCTTGCAAGCTAGATTCGGCTGTGATCCAGCGCCACCGCGATGTTCAAGCAGACGAGAAATACCATCGTTGGCTAGAGCTCCCCGAGACTGTACGCAATACATTGACACCATTTCTCACATCAAAGTACACAGTCACCGTTGGTGCTATCCACTCAAACTGCAAGTATCCACTGTTCTATGCTGGAATGACACATGGTGAATGGCTACGAACATTTGTTCAAGATCTGCTGCAGAAAGGAAGTGGTGATAATGCACAGTTCATATTCGGAATTTGCAGTCGCATTGTCAAAGGCCAGGATATCTCAATAGCGTCCTTCCTTCTTCCTTTTGCAGTGCTTAATCGCATAGTTGGTGGTTCGGAGGAAGAAAAGTTGGATTTACAGTTTGAGTTGACAACTGTTTTATCACACCCTCTCCCTGAAGCAAGCAATCATGTTAGCGAAGCCATGATATTATGTAGCCAAGTGAGATTCACCCCATCCCCGTTTCCACTGCATTTGAGAAACCTAAGGGCTGACCCTACGTATCATCGTCAGAGTGTTTTTGAAGTTTTGGATTATCTGTCAAGGTGGCTGCAGGGAAAGAAGAAGCAACTCAATAGCATGAGTAGCCATGGCCATCATTCCAATCGAACACATAAAGAAGCCGCTCGGAACTCGCTTGCAGGGGCATATTCCTCACATATCAAGGCCGTTGAAAATCTCTTGGCTTCGATTCCACCAGAAGTCATTTCAAAGAGAGCTGTTGAGTGCAAATCCTTCTCCAGAGCTCTCTTTCACTGGGAACAATACATTAGGCAATGCAAGAATCAGGCAGTTGAACAGGAGCGGACCAACATCGAACCATTCTATCAACGTCTACAGGACATCTATAGCCAAATTGACGAACCAGACGGCTTAGAAGGCATTTCAACTCACTTACATGTGCTTAACGTCGACCAGCAAGTTCTCGAGCACCGAAAAGCCGGGAGGTGGGCTACAGCGCAAAGTTGGTATGAATTACAACTCGAGAAAGAACCAGGAAATAGCGATGCCCAATGGAACCTTATTACTTGTCTTAAAGAATCTGGGCAGCAGGGTAAACCTCCCACGCTAGTTATCTGTGTTTTGAAATTTGGCTCACTTTCTTTTAGATGCTATCCTCACTCGATTTGAAGTCCTCAAAGAGAATGAATCTGCGCTCTCCAGACTCCTTCCTTTCGCTGTGGAAGCTTCGTGGATTACAGGGAGATGGACGAAACTTCATAACTATCTCCAGTTACGCTCAGACCAAAATACGGGGTATTTCAACATTGGTATTGGATCAGCCCTCAACGCTTTTCGACAGGGCGACAAAATGTCATTCGGGGAAATAATCAACAGCCTACGGCTTAACGTCGTAAAGTCTTTGACTACGAATTCCGTCGCATCATTACAATCATGCCATGATAGCATCCTTAGACTTCATGCCTTAACGGAAGTTGAATGCATAGCTAACTCCGGCAGCGAGGGAGCGAACTCACACTCACGTGTTACCGATGCCTTGAACCGCCGCTTAGATGTCCTTGGTGGTTATATCACTGATAAGCAATACCTCCTTGGCTTGAGGAGAGCTATGATGGAGCTCACGTAAGTCCTCAGCAGGTTCCCTGTCTCTCTCTCTTTTCCTTTCTTTTCTTTTCTTCCCCCCCCCTTGTCCTTGTACTCACAACACTTAAGAGGCCATTTTACAGATTCCGACATAGCTGCTGCTTGGTTAACCAGCGCCCGCCTCTCGCGGAAAAGCAATTTCATCAACCAAGCATACCGTTCAATGCTTCATGCTGCTAGATTAAAGGACAAATCAGCAACAGTCGAACACGCGCGACTTCTGTGGAAGGATGGTCACCATCGAAAAGCCATCCAAACCCTAAAAGGCGCAATAGCTGCCAATGAGTTTGCAGCAACTCTTCCATTGTCAGGCGATGCTGAATGGAATCAAGATCAACACCAGAACATGCTCGCCGCAAGGGTATGATTCAGTTGTATTAGGAATTCATACTTTGTGAGGCTTGCGTGCTAATCCACCCAGGCACATCTCTTGCTAGCAAAATGGACTGATAGAGCCGGGCAAACACAATCTGATGTCATAGTCCAACGATATCGTGAAGCGATCAAACTTCATACGAGGTGAGGTATACCACTTCGAAAATGAATACCAATTAACCGACATCAGGTGGGAGAAAGCACATTATTACCTTGGCAAGCATTACAATAAGATATTGGACTCCGAGAAAAACAAACCACTCGGAAAAGAGGCACAAATATAGTGAGTTTTTCTAATTGTACGTCTGTGCGAGGCTTACAATATCTCAGCCTGAGTGGTGAAGCTTCGAAACTCGTAATCGATAACTATCTCCGCTCGTTGGCACACGGCAATAAATATGTATTCCAAACATTGCCAAAGGTGCTAACACTTTGGCTGGAACATGCCTCAACCGTTGACCAACCATTTGATCCAAAGAGAGGCGACAATGAGTGAGACTCCCCCATCCGAGCTCACGTCCAGTTGAGAATTGAGGTTGCTAAAAGCATCAAGGGACTTCCAAGTGCATACATTGAACCAACGGAAAAAGAGCCTAGACGACATGCACGCACAACTGAAAAAATACACGATGAACCGGATGCCAGCGGTGCTAGTAAGTATGCAATCCTAGTCAAAACTGGAAAATCACTAATAACATTAGTTATTCACAATACTCCCTCAAGTGGTTGCGCGAATTTGTCATCCAAACTGGACAGTATATGATCTATTGACAAGAATCGTGACCAGAGCAATCAATTCTTTTCCTCAACAGGGTTTATGGACAGTCCTCGCTGTTGTCAAGTCTTCTTCTAAAGACCGAGCCTCAAGGGGGGTCAACTGCCTGCACAAAATCACGGTATGTTTAAGAGGAAACGATCTACTCATTAGACAATATACTGAAACATAACAGGAGTTGAATAAAAAGTCGAACATGCGCAACATGATTAATCAGGGACAGAAGTTTTCGGAAGAAATGCTGCAATTATGCGTGACGCGCATAGAGGATAAAGCTTCCAGAATCAGCCTGGCACGGAACTTAGGGTTCAACCATAAGGTTGCACCTTGCCGATTAGTTGTCCCATTTCAAATCATGTTAACCCCAAGCCTCCCTGCCAGCCATGAATCGGAATACTTAAAGGGATTTAGTGCTTTCCCGCGAGATCCCATTACCATAGATGGTACGTTGCCTAATGCTTCTGCAACCCACATCTAACTTTCATAGCTGTTCGAGACGATGCCCTGGTCTTAAAATCACTTCAAAAACCGCGAAAGATCAGCATTAGAGGCTCTGATGGGAAGAATTACAGCATTCTTTGTAAACCTAAAGATGACCTTCGCAAAGATCAGCGCCTCATGGAATTCAACAATATGATCAACAGGTTTCTGAAACGGGATGTTGAATCAAGCAAACGGCGCATGTGTAAGCTCTGGCCACAGAGCCCACTCCCAACTCTCTCTTTATTATATGCATACACTGGCTGATACAAGGTAGATATCAAAACTTATGCCGTGACACCTCTGAATGAGGAATGTGGGCTCATCGAATGGGTTGATAACCTACAACCATTGAGAAACCCTATCATCAGATTGTTGAGAGAGAGGGGCATTGTGCCAAATGTATGAAACCCCAAAGACTACCGTCAGTCATTATAGACCCTGGAAGTGCTCATTCTATCATAGTACAAGGAAGTTGCACATTACCTGGCCGAAGCATGCTCGGACATTTCAAACCTCCCTTTATTCACAACTAAAGTTTTGGCAAAGTTAGTATTCACGACGGTAATTACACTGAGGAATGCTAAAAGATATAGGTTGCCTCCTGTGTTGCATGAATGGTTTGTTGAAATGTTTCCGGAGACAGGAGCATGGTTTGTTGCAAGACTGAGGTACACTCGGTCCTGCGCTGTCATGTCAATGGTGGGATATGTTCTAGGGTATATTGAATCCGTACGTGTGTATCGAAGGACAGCCCCAGCTGACCTCACTGTAGGTTGGGTGACCGACACGGGGAGAATATTTTGTTCGAAGAGGGAACAGGCGGGGTTTTACATGTTGATTTCAACTGTTTATTTGACAAGGTATGGGGCGCTATCCGCCACATAGAATCAGTACTGATTCCTCCAGGGATTAACATTCGATAAACCTGAACTGGTCCCGTTCCGTCTTACCCAGAACATGACTGATGCATTTGGTGCTTATGGGTATAATGGTACGACTCTTGCTTGTAAAAGGTGCGAACCTTCACTAAATGCTCTCGATGGCTAGGCCCCTTTCGGAGAACATGCGAAATCAGCCTCGGTCTTTTGCGCCAGAACGAAGATGCTTTGATGACTGTATTGGAAACCTTCCTGCATGATCCAACGACCGATTTTATCCCCAGAAAGGTAAGACTCCCAGTTAACCAGATTTCTTATGGATACTGAAACATGTACTATATCTAGCGCCGCACTCATGCGAGTGTACCTGAGACGCCTGCTAGTGTTTTGGAAAATGTGCGCAACAAACTTCGGGGTCTTCTTCCTGGGGAATCTGTCCCACTCTCGGTGGACGGTCATGTGGACGAACTTATTATGCAGGCAACAGATCATAGGAATCTCGCAGCGATGTATATTGGATGGTGCCCGTTTTTTTAAATCAGACATTCCACGCACAATTTTTTTTTTAAAAAAAAATGTTATTTCTTTCTTTTTCTTTTTCTTTTACCTAGTCACTGGCACCTGATAATTACCATGTAGTTTATGAAGAGCTTCTCGCTTCTTACGTTTTCTTGTCTTCAATCTATAAAGGTAGATATATGATATGAAGCGAGATAACTGCTCTGCCACAAAACGAACAACTCTCCTCCATTCCACTAATTGTGACTTCTGCTTCTGCTTCGGCTTCTGTCATTATGACTGCTGTAGTCATAGCTGCTATAACTAGGACTTCGACGCCTACGACGTCGTGGACTTCCCGCGGGCAAGTTACCTCTCCTTGGTGGCGATACCGACGGGGAATGAGGAGAAAATGAACGAGGGCGGCGAGGAGATCGTGATCTGGATAGTGAGCGTGGCCGATACAAATCATGTCTTTCTGAGTGCCGGGCACGACCGTATCGCCTTGAGGACCTGTGAGAGTATGGAGAACGGCGGGAGGGACGACTGTTTGAAGGTTCGCGCCGGCCGTATTTTTTGCGACCAAATCCTGTATGGGAGGGCGGTGGTGAACGTGAAAATGCCCGCCTAGGGAGAACTATAGATACATTCAATGTAGCGCCATCAAGCTGAGCTTCGTGCATATGGGCAATTGCCGCTTCGGCATCTGCAGGGTCATAATACAAGATATACGCTGTTCCTCTGTTTGTCATGACTGCAATACATTAGCATTGAGTACACCATGATCATAATGCAGGAGGATCTCTTACAAGCTCTGTTCATGGGCAGGTCAACGGACTGGATATCTCCGAAGCTACCAAATATTTCCCGTAGATGAGCCGCAGTAACATTTTTGGTTAACTTTTCAATCACAATCTGAAGTCGGTGTCAGCAAACAGGACCAAGATAGCTAGTTGAAGTAGAGAAAGAAAGAGAGAGAAAAGGAGGGGGGGAGAATATGAAGAAAGAAAGAAAGAAAGAAAGAAAGAAAGAAAAAGGGACGAGCGCAGACCTTTGAACTTCTTGGAGGGGTATTGTTAGAACTCGGGGTTCGACTGAACGATCGGCTCCTATGCCAACTTCGAGATCTACCTCGACTTCGACTTCTGGAAAGTGCGCGTGGTTGTGATAGAGATCGAGATTTGCTTTTTGAACGGTTGCCGTTGTAGTGAGAAGTGTCATGTTCGAATGACGGGCTCCGACTCGTAACTTTTGCAGAATGTCGCGATAAATCTGATCGCGGCGAAACAATAGGCGAGCGTCCTCTTGGAGCCATTGGAGATTCGGGTTGAGATGCCGACTGTCCTCAAAACCCTGGAGCTGATATCAAGATGGATGGAATGTATTCAGATGTCAATAGTGTGTTCAAAAGAGCATAGTTGCAGTACAGAATGGAAGCTCCCAAAGTAGGTATGAACTTTAAGTTCCCACTAGCCGTTTTAGCTTACTATGGGGTATCCGCCGGAGATAAATATTCAAGTCATTCAACTAGTACTCCGTAGTGTGTTTCTTTCCCCCTTCATTCTCTCGACAGGAAAAACAAAAAATAAATACATACATAGAACATAGCAACATATATATATATTGGTGCACACAACTGATCACACTAGGGAATCAAAGTTCACGAGCATCCCTCCATTGCTCATACTCTTCAATAACCTCGCTTGTGATTTGCTTTGGCACCTGTTCAAGAGCATGCTCAAAGTGTCGCCATCTGACATTTACTTCCTGACCAGTCTCCTCTTCCTCATCCAATGCTGCATCTCCAGCTGTCTCGCAGATACTGACGATCTCAGCTCCCGAATAACCCTCAGTTTTGGATGCCAGATCCAGCAGATCCACTTCCGGATGGACTGCTGACTTGCTAACCCAGATGTTCAAAATCTCTTTCCGTGCTTCAAAATCAGGCAAGCCAATGTAGAGTATGTTATCCAAGCGGCCAGGGCGCATTAAAGCCGGATCGATAACATCAGGTTTATTCGTCGCCGCGACCACTAGGACATTCCTCAATTCCTCAATTCCATCCATCTCATTTAGTAACGTTGTGAGCACATTGACGCCTCCCTGCGACGTACTGCTGCGCTTAGATGCAATCGCATCGATCTCGTCAAAGAAAATAATACTAGGCCGAGCAGACCGAGCTTTCCGAAATATTTCTCGCAAGGCTCGTTCAGATTCTCCCACGTACATGCTTAGGACTTCAGCTCCTTTCACCGCCAAAAAGTTCAATCCTGCTTCAGTAGCCAGTGCTTTCACGGTGAGTGTTTTAGAGCAGCCGGGAGGCCCGTAAAGAAGGATTCCTTTCTTGCTATTGACATTGAGTCTTTTCATTTGTTCAGGAAACTATTATTGTCAGCGGATTGTTTCTTTTCTAACCGATTTCATGGTGAAGGCTTACCCTCAGTGGTCTTTGAACGGCTTTCTGGAGACGCTTCTTGATATCGTGCTGCCCACCGATATCTGACCATCGCACTTTCGGCGTCTCCAAGAAGACTTCTCGCATAGCGGTGGGGCGAGTCTCTTGTAATGCGGAAACGACATCGAGCTCTTGGATCTCCAGAGGCACAATGACTTCCTTGACATCCTGTCCTTCGCTCTCGTTCACACGAACTTGGTCGAAACGAGGTCCCTTTTTGGGGGGCAATTGCCGCTGTCGTGCTTTACGGCATACGAGTTGCAGTAAAGCAAACAGGTCAGCACCTACATAGCCGTGAGTTCTCTCCGCGACCATTTCAATGAGTTCGTTGCTCAGCGCGGCGGTGGAATGTCCGCGAATAGCGCGTAGGATTTCCGAGCGATCTTGAGACGTGGGGACTTGGAGCTCGACCTCGGTCGCTAGTCGATGGGGTGTCCTTAACGCATCGTCGACATCATTCGGATGGCGAGTAGCTGCTGCAACCAGGACCAGAGCCCCTTTGACCATATCTAAACATTCACAAAGCACCGATGCCAGGGACTGCGAATCCAGGGAAGTTCGCTTGGGGGCAACATATTCCAACTGATCAATGATTACAGCACTTGGCTGACAGCGAATTGCTTCCTGAAACGCGTTGCGAATCTTGGCTTCACTGTCGCCTGCATTCCTGCCAAAAGTAGATGAACCAATGGTGACCGTTTTTCTCCAGCCTGCTGCCTGTATCTGGCGCAAAAGTGCAGTTTTACCTGTTCCTTTGGGGCCATACAGGAGAATGCCTCGGCTATGTTCGTAAAAAGACGGCATCGCAGGCCGCCACTCACTCGGATTAAAATCTTCTAGACTTTCATTGATCAAGTCAACCTGACGGGACATCCCGCCCAAGCCTGACGGCTGCACTTGGAGATCAGAAACTGCATTGGTTACGGTTTCACTGAATCCCTCACCGATTGTGACCTTGGTGTTTTCAGTGAACCGAAATAAAGTACAAGCAGAACTTCGGTCCTGAGGTCTTATATCTGCCGCTTTGAAACTCCTACGCTGGCCTTTAAGTTCCAACTCAAAGACTAAACCAACAGCAAGAAGTTCACATCTTGATAGGGGAAGCTCTAGGCACCAAGTCCAATGAGGGTTGTCGGCATGAGAAAGCTGACCATATTTGGAAAGCCTGTCAGAATCGGAGCAATCCTGTAGAGAGAGTGATTCGATTGACTCTAGGTCGCTATCCGCCCTATAGATAGAAACTTTCTCTCCAATTTTGATCCCGTAACAGTCTTGCAAAGCTCTCGAGGTTTGCACGACGGTATTTTGTAGGTTCTCTGTGGCGGTCCAAGCTATGGCAGTTTTCGGGGGTCCTTCAGCCGGTTTCAGGTTACAAACATCTCCAGCCCGAAGTTTGAGAGCAGCTAATGATGAAGACGATAGATTGACACGAAAAGCATCTTTGTAGTCATTCCTCGGTTGTTTTGACAGTGGTCGAACGGTGAAAAGGCGAGCTTCCGACATATCGCCAATCTCTTCTTTTGGAGAGAAACACGATCGTTATTTCAAATCTGCAGGTGCGGTTTTAATTACCAGTCCTCACAATCGAGTATCACAGCTTCTGGTATATAGAGTCGAATCAAGATTACACGTAGAACAGTCTAACCCTTGGTAGTGTACTCTACCTGTACAAACACAGCCATTTCAAGAAAATAATGTAGGTTTTCAAAGGCAAATAAAGAAGCAAGAGAGGAAGAAAAAAAACGGCGGCAAACTCCGGTCAGTTCAAATGGCAGAATGACTCTGGGAAAGGAAGAGGGAAAGAAAGGGTTAGGGTAGGAAAAAAAATAAAAATAAATAAAAGAGGGGCAGAGAAAATAGGGCTCCTGCGGGGGAAATCTAAGGTGGGTCAAGATCGACTGAAATTAACTTGCCCTCCCAACATACTTGTATGAGTACCAATGCCAGGAACGTCTAGTTTATGATTCATATAGTGCGTAATAGCTCTGGCCTCTCAAGCGTTATCTGAAGCGCGTACATAAAAGCAAAATTGTCATCTAACCGGTGTTATGACAGAGCACTCGACATGCAAGAACCCGCCTGCTGTATTGGCTGAATGACCGTTATCCCAATTGGACTCACAATAATAGATGTTTATGCTCAATAATCTTAGCGTTCACACAAGACTAACAGCCTGGCATACTTTGGTTCAGGTCATATATTCTGGGAGACTGGAACATTACGGAGCTGGTTTCTTTTTTCATTCTATCCCCCCTCCCGAGAATGAGGGGCATCAGTAGCTAATTACAGAAATATGAAGCACAGGAACATTCTAAGGGTTTCGGTTACCAAGTCCCGTCAAGAGCTTCATAGGAATGATAACACTTCTATATAATGAAGACACATTGTTCACATCCAATTACACATACACTGTGACAGAGACATCATTGCAAGAGACAAGGAAGAGACAAGGAAGAGAAACAAGAAAGAGAAGAAGAAAAAAAGAGACAATCATTAACGCCAGTTAACAAGCTCCGAGAAGAAAACCATGGAGGAACCACCAGTCCCAATGGCCATAATTATGAACACACGTGTCGTTACAGTGCCATACTTTGAAAGGTAAGTCCGAGTAAATCGTAAAGCCTTCAAGTATCAAGGCATGGCACTTCGAATGGTAATAAACAAGGCTGTAAAGTTGTAGTAGGTATGGACCATGGGCGGAAAGCCTAACAACACTTCCCCCCACTACTGCCACTCAAACCAGAGCCTTGTTGGTCTATATTGACACCCTGCGATCCGGTTTGCTCTGACTTGGACATGTCCATGCCCTTCTTGATATCGGAGGCAAGGCTGAAGAACGCATTTTCGATGTTGATATTGTTTTTAGCAGAAACTTCGAGGAATGGTATGCCAAGCTCATCAGCAAGTCGCTGGCCTTGTTCGGTTGAGACGGCTCGTTTCTCCTCCCAGTCACATTTGTTTCCAATGAGTATTTTGTGCACGCCTTCGCTTGCATGTTGCTCAACATTTGAGAACCAAGTTCGAATGTCTGGATAAGAAAGTTAGCATGGCGAGAAGTTCTCATGCTACCAAGCCAGAGGGATCCTTACTGTGAAATGAGCGTTCATCAGTGACATCATAAACAAGGAGTATACCCATCGCTCCTCTGTAATATGCCGTCGTAATCGTTCTGAAGCGCTCCTGACCAGCTGTATCCCATATCTGGAGTTTTACCCTCTTACCGTCCAGCTCAATTGTCCGAATTTTGAAGTCGATGCCAATGGTGGTAATGAAAGATGGAGTGAAAGAATCTTCGCTGAATCGCAGAAGACAGCAAGATTTTCCAACTCCAGAATCACCAATCAGCAGCAATTTGATCTATGACATTGGTGACAGCACTTAGTAAATGGGAGAAACAGACGAGGATCAAAACTTACCAGGAAATCGTAATTCCTTGTGCCCGCCATGATGCTATGAATCCGGTTACCTAGGAAGCTATAAGATGCAAAATCCGAAGAAAGTGACGGTCCCTTAGTTCGATGCTTATGTGTATTAGCGGCCGTTGGAACCTTGTTTCTATTCCTCCTTTTCTTTTATCCCCCCCTCTTCCCTTCGGTAGCGTCGTCTGCAGGGTAACTGCAGCCACCGAACGGTGGCAGTTATTCTGGCCTTCCTGGCGCACCTATTAAGGAGCGGGCGGGGGCGAGGTGGTCAGGGGACTTGGTTGGAATCGCCTCACGGTTCACGGTTTCACGGTTTTGATAACTGTCTGCTGAAGAATAGAAACAGGGAAAATTAGGTATGTAGTTCACTGTTAAGAGAATAATGTTTTGTCATAGAAGAATGACAACGGTGTGTAGAGAGGTGCCTGGTGTTTGTCCAAGTGGAGGTGGTGACCGTACTCCGTAGGATAAGCTAGGGATGTACTCCGTACTCTCCATTGTAATAATACCTACTCTGTATGGACTAGTGCCAACCCACCTGACCCAACCCCATACGCAGTACTCTGTACTTAATACATACTCAGTAAGAATCACACAATTTAATGGTTTTTCTTCTTTTTTTTTCTTTTTTTTTTTTTTTTTTGGATATTACTATATATTACTATATGTACGGCGTATTTGTTTATATAAATGCATGGATGAAGTATAAAAATACTTGATTATCTTACTTGCACCAAGTTTTATAATAACCAGCTCCGTACTGATTCATTCTGCACCAGATGACAAGTACTCGGGCGACAAAACAAGATTGGAGATACTCAAGAAATATCATGAGACATAGATAGCATGGCTAATCATTCTACCCTGGGGCAACGTAAATTGAAGGGAGCCGCCGACAGGGAACAGGGGGGAAGGGAAGGATTCATCAACAGCCATTACTGGAACCACCTAGAGTACGTGTATCCTATCCGCCTAACGACTTGCAGTTGTCTGTCAGCACCACGTTGGATGTCGATTAGGTCGCTGACATCCTCATTGAATTTCCGAAGGTCGGCTCCTTTTAGGACAGCCCTTGCCCTTTGCAGCAGATATTCTGCGTCGCATATCAAGAGCCCATGGTCTTTGAAATTGAGGATGCCATTTGTGGTAAGTGACGATGCTGCCAGAGTCCGGTCAACGTTCCTATGCGTAAATTAGTGTTGCCCTTGATTCACATCGACTTGAAGAGTACCGTAAAGCATGTCTCAACTGATGATGCTCCTCGTTCCTTCGCAGGCCTTTTCTGCTACCAAAAAGGCCGCAGGCCCATTGAAAAACAGAATATGAAACCAGTATTCCTGGGGTGATGCCAACGAAGCTACATGGCGTCAATTTTCATACACGAGTGCCAAAGGGCTGCACATACCCAAAAACAAGTTCCTGGCTCTTGAGAAGAGAATCGATGCCGCTCATTGCTATCTCCACATCAACCTTGGTCTTTTGAATTTGGATCAGAAGAGTGCGAATCAAATCGCCTCGTACAGTCCCAACGAAAGGACTTCGCAAATCTCTTTCGTATGCTTTCAATACCGGTGTCAAATCACCTTCTCTGACGCTGTTCGTTATAGTAAGTGTATCTGTTGCTGCAGGATCTCCTTGGGTCAACGTATGGTCCTGAACGAAATCAACCACCATCCTCTCCAAACTCGCCCGGTCTGCCTCCAAGCTGTTTTTGCTCATTATTGCAATCTCGCTTGCCCTGTCATGTCTGATTGTCCCGATGAGCCGTTGGATTGGTTCAATCACCCAGTTACTCCAGAAATCGACTGCCGTTGATCCAATTTCCAGAATCCACTGGATGATCTCGGTGCGCTTGTCCGCTAGGATTTTCAGAGAAGTACTTGCTGAAAAGAGCAATAAAGAGAATGGCAACCAATAGCGTACAAGGCGTGACGGATGGCCATATTTCCGAGCAACTGCCTTTGAAGATAATTGATATGTAGGTAGAAGGTCTTGGAGGATATTGACAAGCCGATCAATGAGTATTCCGGGGTATTCAGAGACCAGACTTTCGTTAAGCTGACCCACAACGAAGTGTTCTTCCGCATTTGTCATTGTAAACACTTTGTGCTCAAAATCGGCGATACCAATGTCATCCGTTGTATTACATAGAATGGTCTCCATTAGGATGACGCTTCTAAGTAACGTGTCCCGCCACTGGTTTCCAGAAAATTTGTGGCCGTTTCCAACGTTGAATGACAAACATTCTTCCATGAGGAGCCCGATGCTGCTGGCATGTAAATCTCTCATCGCTCTCAAGGATTTTTGTTTCCGTCGGACGTCCGACTTGCACATCGCAAGGTGTGATGAGATTCTGCTTCGCATGGAGTACGTAGGATGTACACGGACAGACCGTCTAAGCAAGTCATAGAAGTGTGCCCATCTAACCGACATCGAAGGAGACTGTCGGTCTTGGGTTACTCTGTTCGCTGCATGGGAATACAAATGTCTTGCACCGTCCCATATCCGCAGAGGAGATGTCTGCGCAAAATGTAACCAAGTGGACCAGGAAGAAGCCAAGATATCATCCCAGTAAAAAATCTCGTCGCTAAAAACATGCGTTTGCTCCACAAGGCTGTTCAGCAGTAATCCCAAAGTTTGTACGGCAGCCTTCGCAGTCACTAGCCAAAAAAGATCCGATTCGTGTGTGGTATATTCATCAAGCGGGCCTTCATGCTGTTTGGGAAGCCTGCGAGAGACATCAGAGATAAGATTCACAAGTTTGTCGGGTTTTAGCAAATTGTGAGTCGTAGACGTTATGGAAAGTGATTGGACAGCACTTTGTAAAGCGACTAATTGCTGTGGCCGAGATTGATATCGGTCAGCAGTTCCTATGGAGTCCAGTATCGATACATCGTTGCGTATCTTGTCGATGACTTGCTGCTGGAACCTGTCAAGCTGGGTGTCCAGTCGACAAGTATTTCTGTTTGATTGTGTTTAAGCGTCAATCTTCATAAACATACGCAAATTGACATGGGCTGAAGACTCACTCTTTGACAATGATCATCCCCGATGCTGAAGGGACGGTATATCTGAGATTTTCTCTGCCTTTTTCTTTTTCTTTTTGAGGTTTTTGAAGGTTCATAATAAGTGACTAGTATATTAATTGGGCATTAATGTGTCGTCATTTGGGAACAACGAAGACTTGCTCAGAAAACTCTCTTCATGTTTGATGCACTCTATATATAAAAATTTTTAAAAAATAAAAAATAAAGTATACATTGATAAAAATCTGATCGATTTCCCTTGGATCAAAATACATGAACTCCCAAGTAGTGAAGACCACACAAACATCATATGGTCATACTATGTCCAGAGTACTCTGTAGTACATCATTTATACTCATCTATTGCACTAAAGTGAAATATGAATGCGACCGTTTTCTTTCTTTCTTTCTTTTTTTTTTTTTTTTTTTTCTTTTTTTTAGTGCTAGTACATTATTATTTTCGTTCTGGAGTGCTGACAATCGTTCCTGCCTCAGAGTTTATGCCTCATAATTAAGGCCAAAATATAAGGGCACGGAAAACCAATTGTATTACTCTGTACTCCGTACGTATTTGTAAGTTGTGTGCAGGTGAGACTACTACTTACTCTCGTGTATTAATACACCTCTTGATGTATCCCTGTATTCTGTAGACAAAATGATTTTACAACGCCGTGTACGGAGTATACAGGGGTACGGAGTAACTACGTAAAGTATTGGTTAGTAATTCAACCAAGGTGATTTAGGATTCATGTGGGTACTAATCATGTACCCCTTAAAAGGCGGCAGGTGTTGGAAAATCATAGGCTGGTTCTAGTGCATAGTGGAGCATAATATCGGTCCTAATCGGCTAGGCAGTGGTGCCAGGGAGAGACCAGAAAAATGACCGAAAAAAAGTAAGGTCTCGCCACTTCGGGAACAGATGTCCTGATCCCACTGCCTTGACCAGCGGCTTGTCCCTGAAATACATAGCATCCCCTCCCCAGCACTTCATTCCTCTTTACACATCTGAGTCTCATCTTATTACTATCTCAATCCTCCAATTGCAGCTGGTTAAGTTGTAGCAATTGTCTGTCTTCGGTGCTACACTATAAATCTGCTTTAGGCAAGATAAACACAATGTGAGCTCTCTCCCATCCGCAACTCGACCTGTGCTTTCTAACATTGTCAAAGGAATTCGACGCTACTTGCGGCCCCCCCTGATACTTATTGGGGCCAATTCGAGGAGATTTCGAAATACAACACCCATCTGAATCTGATCGAGAGACTATGGACAACGTGGTATGCGTGGATGCAGAATGATGTGCTCGCTACAGGCATTATGTCTTTTTTGATGCACGAAATTGTCTATTTCGGGCGCTCTTTGCCTTGGATTTTCATTGACAGTTTGGGGTTGCTCAAAAACTTCAAAATTCAAGATGTAAGTAAGCCAGGCGCATATTACAGGCATCATTCTGACTCGCTCGCAGAACAAAATACCCTCGTTACAGGAGCAATGGAACTGCGCCAGATTCGTGCTTCTTAGCCACTTCACTGTTGAATTGCCTCAAATCTGGTAAGTACAGCCTTCTGCTCCACGTGAAGTGCGACTAACGTCTTCCCAAGGCTGTTCCACCCAATGGCTCAATTCTTTGGACTTTCGACCTCAGTTCCTTTCCCTTCTGTGTGGACCATGGCCTATCAGATCGCGATATTCTTCGTCTTGGAGGACACGTGGCACTATTTCTCTCACCGCGCTCTTCACTGGGGCCCCTTATACAAGGCCATCCATAAGATTCACCATCAGTATTCTGCACCTTTCGGTATGGCAGCCGAGTATGCGTCTCCAATCGAGGTCATGATCCTTGGGTTCGGCACCGTCGGCTGTCCAATTCTCTGGTGTGCAGTAACTGGAGACTTGCACATCTTCACCATGTACGTTTGGATTGTGTTGCGCCTGTTTCAGGCCATTGATGCACACAGCGGTTACGAATTTCCTTGGAGTCTTCATCATTTTCTCCCATTCTGGGCTGGTGCTGACCATCACGACCTCCACCACGAGAAATTCATTGGCAATTATTCGAGCAGCTTCCGGTGGTGGGACTACCTACTCGACACTGAATATTCCCCTGAGGCTCTCAAGCGGCGAAGGGAAAACAAGGCTGGGGCAACGAAGAAGGCGGAATGATTCATGGTTAGGTCAGCGGTGACTTAGCAGGGGGTAAAGGCGCAGTCGCTATTGAGTTTTATGCATAATTTTGTCACTTATAGATTATATGAAAGCATTATAATAATAATACATTAATACCGGAAAGCTTACCTTTGTTGGTTTATACAGGTGTACACAAGTAATTGGTTTTTTGGGGGAGGGAAAATAAAAAACATTGAAAGGGTGCCGCATGCCTCCACAGTGTAGTGTGGTCATGACTGCAATAAGATTTCTTAAAAACTTTACTAGAGAATACAGCTGTACCCTGATAATGAAGAATTCTTAAGGCATATATAAATTAGATAATGTTATTTACTAAATCTATGTTAAGGGCCTGGCCCGAAAATGCTAATGACTAGCTTTGGCACAAAAGATTTCGTTGAAGAAAGGCACGAATGCCCGGTCGGGCGGCTCTAAATACATGCGCGCGCAGTGCGGGGTCGGTAGTCCCTCCAATAATCTCTCTGTCCGGTAACCTCTCCACCCGACCAAATATACCGCTTACGCGACAGGCGCAGCCTGTGACAATCTATTTATAATGTAAATATAGAGGGTAATACTGATGCTAGATTGATAAAGAAAGCTAGCAATTACATTGAGACAGTAGATATTTAGAGCTATAATATAATTCTTAGCTACTTATAACTAGAGACTGTTTTAACTAGTATACTTATATCTATTAATAAATCATACAGATGGCTATGTACTTATTCACATCTTTTCTTAGATTATCTCAGTAGTAGAGATATCTGTCTGTTATATATAGCCTATGAGGCCCTAGCTAGGGCATCAACAGCTGACATATAGGGGGCTGGGAAGCCTGCCAGGTGGTGGAAATCCAGAAAAGAGGGGAGGAGAGTTAAAGGGGTTAGCAAATAAATCAAAAAGCAGTGAATCAAGAAGAAAACAGAGTTAATTAAGAACAAACAAATCCCCCCCCCTCTTTTTTTTTAAAAAATTCAATGCCTAGCAGCCACTTTCTAGTAGCTATACCAGTATTCCTTGAGTATTCTAAAAGCACCTGTTGTCCAGTTTTTGAAGTGAATAAGTGAAACAGAGACTGATCTCTTTTGGGCAAGATGTGGACAGAGAGGCCATTTCTCTCATTTTGATAAGCCGAGCATTGCAGAATTAGATGATATGGAGTCTGTCTTTGATCCTGTATACATCTAGTGCATTCATCACTATCATAGTCTGGTAGCCTGACTAGACGGGATTTGAAGTATCCGTCCTAGACTAAGTCTATATTCTTTAAGACTTCAGCTTTGTCATGGGCTCGATAACTAGTAGATAAAACAAATAATATTCATATCTAGACTAGATAGCCTAACGATGAGAATATCGAATCTGGAGAGAAGAAGAAAAGAAATCTATCTAGATAATGAAGGGGTTCTATAGGCATTGTGCGACAGGGCATTGTGCGACAGGGCTCATGCCCACGTTTGCCTTTATTTCTTGTATGGCTTTGTTTGGCTGGTTGGTGTCGTTTGTCTATATCAGCCGTTGACGCAGTGTTGAGCCGTCACAAGTTTGTATTTATTTTACAGTGTAAAGAGAAATAGTTATCTTTCTTTTCTTTATCGGTGAGTTGATAGTCTGGTCATCGTCTACTTAGAGAGCATTAACAAGGTTTCACAAGCCTGAATAATACTTAATTTAAAAGTCAAAGACTGCAAGTTTTTCAGCTCATTATATCTGATGTCTATTAAAGCTTAGTTATTATAAAGTAATGGAGATTTATATATAGTTATAATTTATACTATATATATACTCCCCTCTAGATAGTAATGTCAGTATTTAAAGGTTATAATAATTGCCATAGGCTCTTTATTATATAACTAGGTAAGAATAACATATTCCACGGCCGAGCAGTCCACTATACATTGCATAGAAAACAGCACTTTTTCTGGCCTGTGTCTCAAAAACAGCAAATATATACCTTTAAATTTATATATACTAGTAAATATGGATTTTAAAATATCCTAGCTTTTTTGTTTTATATTATTTCTACTTTAACTACATGGTTACGACTATACTGACTGTAATAAAAGCCTCTCTGCCTTAGTAAAAAGAACCGGTATAGCTAGAAGCTTATGATTTTAATATCTAGCTATACACTATTATTGTTCCACTATTGGAATTTCAGATCCTCCAGATTTGTTGTTGAGATATTGAGGTTGGAAAAGGTGCTCTTTTCTATGCAATACAGAGTGGACCCGCTCGGCCATGTGGATGACTCCCCATTGAATACGTATAGACAAACGACACCAACGTGCCAAACAAGGCCAAATGAGCAATGAAGGCAAGTGGGGAATTAGTGCTGTCGCACAAACGCCTATAAAACCCCTTCATCATCTAGATGGATTTCCTCTTCTCTTCTTTCCCCAGATTCAATATTCTCATTGATGGCTACACTAGTTTTAGATAGGAGTATCACTTCATCAATATCTACCAAGTCGAAGCCCATGAAATGATATTGAATCTCACCTTTTTCTTTTTCCTTACATTTATCTTATTGGCTCAGTCCTCTGATTGTGGTGCCATGTTAACGTATTCCCCTCCACTAACCAACCAACTGATATGAAGACCCTGGCCAGTATGGCTTGACTGAACAATACTATTGCCCAACTGAGATGAAATGAACAATGACACTAAAAGAACTGATGATCCTCTGTCTTCATTGATGGAGACAAGAATAAATAATGCCATACAGTGACTCTTGAGGTCTGAGGAGTTCTTGCAATATGCCTCTGAAAAGCCTGAGTGACTGTTTGAGAAACTGGTTGATTCATCAACAATCTAATGATTACATTGATGATTATAAGGTTTGCCTTGCTAAAGAGGAGCTGCAAAACCAGGCTAAGGAAGAAGAGCTTGTCCTCCTGTGCTGTAAGATGGATGAAGCAAAGGAATAATTGTGGAATCAGACTGATGATGAAGCTTTAGACTCTGTATCAGGAGATAGGAGAGGTTGAAAGGCAGCTAGCTCTCTAAGATCAAGTCAGAGTGTGGTGCCTTTACCACTCATATTACTTGACATGTGATAAATACTGTAATTAATTGTCATCAGGAATCTCCATCAGCTCCAGCTGTCTATAGGTTAGTCAGTGTAACGGCATGAACCACCTAACTATATAAGTGAGCGCAGTACTAACGTAACCGGACACCGAGCTGCCCATGTCACCGAGCTGCCCATGTCACCGAGCTGCCCATGTCACCGAGCTGCCCATGTCACCGAGCTGCCCGCCGCCGCCGGCGACAAGAATTCTTTCTATACAAATCACTCCACTAATCTAGCTAAATAAACGCCATACTGAAGCATATTTAATTCATTAAATCTATGACAATTTAGCCGGACATTTCAACCTATTATGGCCTTCTTGATTGCAATTGCTGCACCGTATTAACCGCCGCGGCCTTGATGATGGTTCTTGTATGGCCTCCCTCTCAATCAATCTTTTCTGACCTTCAGAGCCAGTCAAGCTCCCCCCATCTTGGATAAAGGCTCGTGTCATATTTTTCTTCCCTTCCTGATGCCTATTTGATGTGCAAAACTGATGAAGTTCTTGTCTTAATAGAATAGCATCCTGCATTGCAACTTCTGTGCTCTTCATAAACTTTTCAAGCATCTGCTCTGAAACGACTGAAGATAGAGACTGGTTTTGAAGGTCTTGGATCTGCTTTCTCTGCTGATTTAACTGGTAAAGATTGGCTGGTGTCATCCCTAAATAGAAGGATTGATTGCTGCTTGGAGAAGATGGTGGTGTTGGTGTCTTCATCCTGATGTGGAGTTTTGAAAGCACCCTCTCTGGTTTGAATGGAATGAGACCAGCAGCTGCAAACCCGCTTAATATATTGGCCTTTGAGAATGCCTGAGCATGGACTTTTGTATAAACAGATAGGAAATCCATTTTATCAATGATATGAATGCCATTCTGTGTCATCTCCCTGATTTTCTGGCCATAATAATGTTTGAGCGGCGCAAAACAGCTAACATCTAGAGGCTGAAGTAGATGAGATGAATGAGGAGGCATATATAATGGAATAATCCTTCTTTCCATGCAGAAATGATCAAAATTGGCAGTTGCATGGCTGCTATGACCATCAAGGATTAAAAGCCGATATCTGCCAGCTGTTTGAGAGGCAGTATGCTTTTCAAACATCTCCTGGAGCCATTCAAACCCCAAATCATTGTTTGTCCAGCCATTATCACTCATGCTGATTCTGTATTCCTTGGGAATAGCTGAATACCATTGTGATTGATGCTTTTTCCCAGCCATGATGATTTGTGGAGGTAAAACAGATCCAGTAGCATTTATGCCAACTATTGTGGTTATCCACTCCCGATTTCCAGGTTGAATAGATTTGGCATGGCTACCTCTAGTTTCAGAACCACAGATAACCTTTGCAGTTGATGTCATGCCCATTTGGAAGCCAGTTTCATTCATATTGTATATATCCTGCTCTGCAATGCCATACTTTAGGATGATCTCTTGAATGCGATTAAACCAGCCCTTTATAAGCTCTGGGTCTTCACATTTTGCACGTTGATAGTCATATCGGCGTGTATATTTGGATTCAAGCTCAGGATGGCGTTCAATAAACCGGGAGACCCATTTCTCACCAATAGAGATGTCTTTGGATGGCTTGGACCGTGCAGATAATAAAATCCAAGCAAGATGGCGTACACTTGATATTTGAAGTGGTAGGCCACGTTGATCCATATCAATAATCCATTTGGAAAGGGTCTCTTCTTCAATATTTGATAGTTTTCAACAGTTTGCAGGCATTTCTCTGCAGGAGGCGGTTCCATCAAGGCGGGTCATGAAAGTCCTTTTAGGCCCATCAAAGGCTTTAGCACAGGAGGTTTTTGATGGAAATAAGCCTTTGTGGAAGGATTGAAGAGCTAATTCCATTCGACGTTCTTTTGGTAATTCAGGCATTTTGAATATGTTGATAAAAAGGCTAGAGTATGATTGTTTAGGAGGTGTGCTGCCGCCGACCGGGCAGCTCGGTGACATGGGCAGCTCGGTGTCCGGTTACGTTAAGCCGACAGGCTTAGTAACGTATTTCCCTACCGAGTGGCGCACCCGACCGAGCGGCGCACCTCTGTATTCCATATAAAATGGCGCTTTTTATAACCTCAATATCTCAACCGCAAAGTATCTACAGAGCCTAAAATTTAGTATATAGAGTATTATGGTACTGAAATTATATAAACTGAGCAGAAAGCTTCTACAGATAAATATTTCTCCAACTAATATAAATTACCACTGTATTTTTTGTATTTTTCAATAAATACCAACATCATCTTCATCATCACATAGCAACCAATCCTTTGGTGCAGGCAAGACTCCAGCAGATATAAACCAGCTTGAGGCCCAAAAGAAGTGACTATGTCACCTCCAAAATCACCAGATATCCCCATCAACTATGGAAGATGCAATGGGAAAAGTCATTAGAGGGGCAGAGATGACCATGCAAAATGCCATCCTACTGCAGCATGAAGTCCACCAGATTTGCATGGAAAATAAGCATCAAAGGCAGAGACGAGCAGCTCCTAGGGCCTTTATATAGGCTGAAGGGAGTCTGACAGGTGCTCAAGGATTGCAAAAAGCGCAAGAACAGGAGGCTATAGTGGAGGAAGCACGCCGACGGCCAGTCAGTTTCCAGGCTGCGTAGGCCACCAACCTGCAGCACATGTGGTATAACAGGCCATAATCGGCTTAAATGTCCCGAGAAATAGTCTATTGTTTTTATAGATAATATATATCAATTTTGTGAGGAGAAAGGCTTCAAAATCAGTGTATAGTACTTTTCAGCGGCGGGCGGCAGCCAGCTGGCCAGCTCGGTGATCGATTACATTAGTTAGATAACTTATAATGAAATCAGCATCTCCTTGACTACCTTGGCCAACACTGGAGGTTTAATCATTATAATGTGTGGCTAGATGTGAGAATTAGAGGCTGGTCTGGTCTGAGTAACAAAGTCCCATGGATGCTATTATAAGCAAGTAGTATCTAGAGGCACTAAAGCAGATCCTGCAACAGCCTAAATCTTATCAAGCTAATAAAGCATCACAACCAATGATTTAAGAAGGATGAGCAGAGGGAATGATACTAAGCCCCTTAGAAAAAAGAAAGTCAGATCAACAGACTGATTAATCAGTAAAACCAGGAGGTTTTTTCTATTAGTAATTAGTTATAATCAATCAGAAGTTGCAGAGGGAGATGATGCACTAGTAAATAGTTCAAATTAATATTATAGGAATTGACACAGTACCTTTTTAATGACACTTATATAAAATTTTTTTTTATTACTAGCCTCATTAAGATTAACTGCATTATTAAAGAAAAAATGGCTGAAGAGTGCTAAAAAGAATATTATTCAGAATAGGAGCTAGTACAACAGCTGCTATCCCAGCAATACTAGGAGTATACTAATATCTTCTTTAAAGCAGCCTTTAATTATCTCCCTCCCTAATAAACTAATGACTGTTAAATTAAACTGGAGAAACGAAAAACTGCAGTCTGCAGTGAGTTACAGCCCCTTATATAATTAGATTATAGATGAGCTGAAGGCAGCTTGTAATTACATTGTAGACAATTTTAATAAGAGGTTTATCAGATCTAGTGCTGCCTCCTTTGCATCTCCTATCTTAGTGGCCTGGAAGCCCAAGGGTGGATTGCATTTCTATGTTAACAACTAGAAATTAGCAATCACCCAGAGGATTGATATCCTCTCTTATAAATGAATTAATAAAATGGATCAGCAGAGTAAAGATCTTTTAAAATTAGTTATTTAACAAATTCCACTAAATTCAACTTAGTCCTAAGTCTTGAGGACCTGACTATTTTTCAAACTTAATATGGAACCTATAAATATTATGTTATTCTCTTTAGACTGATTAATGGACCAGCTGCTTTCCAATGCATTATTAATGATACTCTTATAGACTACTTGAGTGATTTTATGACCATATTTATGGATAATTTACTTATCTACAAAGAATGCTACATACAAAGCATGAACTCTATATTATATTAAGAAAATACTGAACAGCTATACACTGCAGGACTTCAAGCTAATATTAAGAAGTATAAGTTTTATGTTATCTAGATAAAACATCTTGGATTTATTCTGATAACTAACAGCATTGAGATTGACCTGTTAAGGGCTAGGCCCGGAATTCTAATGACTAGCTTTGGCACAAAATATTTCGTTGAAGAAAAAAGGAACGAATGCCCGGTCGGGCAGCTCTATATATACATGCGCGCAGTGCGGAGTAGATAGCCCCTCCAATAACCTCCGTCCGGTAGCCTCTCCGCCCCACTCAACATATCGCTTATGCGACAGGCGCAGCCTGTGACATGACCCTAAAAAAACTGTGATAATCTACAACTAGGCAGTGTTTACCACTGTTAGAGGCATGCAGTTATTATTGGGATTCTGTAACTTTTATCAACAATTTATTAAGGACTATAACTGAATTATAAAACCTTTAAACTATTTAACAAAAAAGAATGTCTTTTTTACCTGGACTGATGAATATCAGGGAGCCTTTAAGGAACTGAAGAAGCAACTAATGGATGCTCTAATACTATAATACTACTAATCTAGAGATGAGGGTGAAGACTGATGCATTAGATGGGGTGATAGTGTCACAGGCTGCGCCTGTCGCATAAACGGTATGCTTAGTCGGAGAGACGATCGGAGGGGCCGCACAGCGCGCACGTGTGTATATAGAGCTGCCCAACCGGGCATTCCTTCCTTTCCTCTTCAACGAAATCTCTTGTATGGTAGATAGTTATTAGCACCACGGGTCTAGCCCCTAACAGATGGCTGGAGTACGCTTCTAGAAACATAGAGAACTAATACTCAGCTAGTTATTACTTAAAGAGCATGATTAATGTTGAATGCAATTATAAAATCTATAATAAGGCAATGTTAGCCATCATCTGTGCACTGCAGAAACGATGAGCTGAATTAGAAGAACTGTAACTTTGAGAATATTTTAATATCTATAGAGACCATCATCAAGCATTAGAATATAATGATGAAGCTGAATGCATAATAAGTCTGATGAGCTGAATTCCTTTCTTAATTTTATTTCCTCATTTAATACTGACTCAGACAAGAAAGATCCTTGCTGATGCCCTTAAGGATTTAACTGATAACTGAAGTGCAGAAGAATGAATATTGCCAGCAGATTCTTTTAAAACCAGACCTAGTTAAGAAGCTATTAGAGACTGGGGCAGTGGTTAATACTCTAGAGCCCATCTTACAAATAGTTAGTTAACCAGTTGCTTGAGATAACGTAATCCACAGCCGAGCTGACCATACAACCGAGCTGACCATTTTCTTCGCAACCACAAGGATATTAAAGCTTTTCAACCACCAACGCCATTAAATTAGACTATATAAAAAATAAAATGAATAATTATCTACTAGGATAACCTCTTATCGTATGTCCTACAGTCCCACAGCCACTACAGCGTTGTGGAGCTCGCTTGCGAGGCCAAAATATAGGCTCTTCAACCTGGGCTTCATCCTGTGTATCAAGCTGCTGAATGCGCTCACAACCTTCCTGTACAGATATAAAGAGATTATCTCCTATAGAAGCACGTTTCCTTGCCTTCTTCTTTGTTTTCCGCTCATTTTCAGTCTGTAAAACCTTGATTTCTTGTTGGAGAAGAAGGTTTGTATTCATTGCCATCTGTGCAGCCTTTTCAAGGTGTTGAATATGGGAGACTGGACTACTAAAAGTGTCCTTTTCCTTTGAAGGCTTTTCTGCAGATTGTGGATCTTGTGATCAAGCTGGCGGGGATTCTGAGGTGTCTGAAATGCAGATGATATTGATCCTTCAGC